CTGCACACTGCACAGGTCCCTGCGTGGCTACCCGTGTCCCGTGGGGATGCTTTCGAGTTCTTTTGTGGCCTGTTTGCTGCTGCGTCCTTAGCTGTTGGACAGTGAGGTTTTGTTTCTAATGGGAAATGAAGGAAAATTCATTGTTGGGCGCTGACGTTTCGTTCCTATCCCACGTAGTGGCTGCCCCGTGCTCCTCCCCATCCCCAGCTGCACCAAGGCTGCTCATTCCCTGCACCGACAGTGTGGGCGTCTCTCCTGAGCTGGCCAGAGCTAAGCCCTGCTAATCCAGCACATGCTGCCTGCAGGTGTCCTTGGCAGCTCCCTGTGGACTGGAGACCTCCCGGGACCTGGCAGTGGGCAGATGGCCACGATGGAGGTGGGGACATCGAATGGCACAGCCAAGTGTGCCATTGGTGGGAGAATTCCCCGGGGTGCTGGATGGAAAATGGTTGGAGAAGGCTATGGAGCCCAGCATCCCTGTGTGCTGAGCTTGGGACCCTCCAAGCCACAAAGCCAAGCGTGTCCCATCCACGCCACAGCCCTGGTGCCATCCCAACCCTGCAGCCCCCATCTCCATCAGGGCTGCAGACAGCACAGGGGCTGCTCCGCTTTCCAGAATCATCATTAACCTGTTAGGGAGAGCTGTTCCTGCTCACGGCGAAAATAGATCTTTAATCTCTGCCCAAAATAGCTCATTTGATGAGAGGCCTCCTTAAAGCTGACACATAAATTTAACCAGGCCGCCCAAGCCCTCCGCAAGGATGTCTGCAAATGCTCAATAGCACTCGAATTGTTTTTTTTTTTTTTTAATTCCATTGTTACGTACACATCTGATACCTTATTTCTTCCATCAGATCATTTGTAACAGTCAGGAGGCAATTTACTTCTGTCCTCTGATTCAATTTGTGCTTTGTGCTCCCGCAGCCATTCGGCTCGCAGGGTCATCGTGGCTTTTGTGGCCCTGCATGCAAGCAGAAGGCTATTGGGTGGGTTTTATGTTCTTCTTTCATGTCGGCTTGCTCCCACTCTAGGATGCTCAGAGCTCCCTCTCATCTCCGTGCTGCTCCAACACTCGGGTGCTTGTTGCAGCTGGTGATGCTGGTGACAGGCGGTGCCAGCCTGGCTGTGCTGCTGCCCTGTCCCAGCAGCTGCCTGGGGCTCCGTTGGGATGGAGCTGCGTTAGTACAATCCCCATCCCCACATCCTTTGGTCCCCATGCTCATCAGTCCCCACCTCCTTGCTGTTCCCTTGGGTTGCTCGCGGTCACAGTGTGGATTGGAGGCTCTTAAAGGGGAGAGGGTGGGGAAATGGCAGCAAGATGCTTCCTATGTAAGGAAAGGCAGGTGCTGGGCAGAGATGCTCATTGCGTTGAATGGGCAGCCTTGCTCTGAGCAAGCACTGAGGCCACATGCCTGTCCTCATGTCCCCATGCAGGGACCATCCTGTCCCCACGCATGGCGTGCTGGGCAGCAGCCGGTGCCTCCCTTCTGCATTCTCCCTCTTTGCCTTCAGTCCCCAGCCCCCATGCGATGGAGCAGTTTGGAGGAGCACGAGGCCTCACACATGTGCCTTGCTTGGTTTTGGGTTGTGGCTTCGAACCTGAGCTTGGGGAATGTGCTCCTCGCACAGCAGCATCCCATCCGTGTGCCTCACTGCTCGTGCATTCCCACAGAGCACCGCACAGCCTTGCACCCCACACCCTAACCCAGAATAATCACTTTCAGCATCATTATCCACCACAAACCCCAGCTTCCAATTTTAATCAGAGGAGCTGGTGTCGCTTTAAGATCTGCGGGTTTTAAAGATCACAAGAGGGGTTAGAGAAAATTACCCTTGACTCTTACATGCTAATGTAATCTCTAACCAGATCTGCAGCACCGCAGCTAAAATTGCTTTTTAGATTAACATTTAATTATTAACAGGGCCCCCTGAAAGGCCTGGGGCTGGAGCACGGAGGGGAGCAGGGTGCACGGTTCAGCCCAGCCCTGCTGGAGACGTTTGCAGTGCAGAGGGGGAAGGTCGTGGGCGGCCAGCAGCACTGTGCCGTGCTTTATTGCAGCCCTGGGCAAGGTGTCATCAAACTTTCTTTTCTATTTTATCTCACGCTCCCCGTGATTTACCGCAGGGTGACCTTTCCTGCATTCACTCATTCCTGCACTGCGCTGTCGGCATCGTGCGGTGTGTCCTCCTCCTGCCCCGTTCCCATTGCCAGACGCCCCGTGTGACTCAGTGACAAGGTCATGTAGCATCCCCGTTCTGCCCCTCTCCATCACCCCCAGATTCCCTTTGTGTGGTTTTTATGCCCGCTGCCCAGCCAGGCTGTGTGCTGGGGACGTGGTGCCCTCTCAGCTTCGTTAGCACTGGGCAGGGATGCACGGCAGCAGCAGACACGGCCCTTTCTTTCCCTAACAAGGGGCCAGCTTCTGCAATCCCCTTTATTCATTGTTCTGCCGAGGGGAACGGCACAGACCCAATTCAGGCTGAGACTTTGAAAGTTCCCTTTCTTCCCCCCCCCCTCCTGTCACATTTTCTTTTATCTAAATCCTCGCCTATGAAAGCCTCTATCGACAGCTGCGCTGGCCTTATCTCGCTGGAGGGACCTTCGTGGGGCTCTCAGAGGAGATAAGACCTTCTTATCGGCCTCTGATGTCAGAGAAGGTGCCAAACCCTTCTGTCATTGGAGCTTTAGACACAGAGGGTGTGTTTTTTTTATTTTTTTTTTTTTTAAATTAAAGTCACAAAGACCTTGGGTTTATAAATAGTCCGATGGAGCGATAGGGCTTGGAAATTAGCAGGGTGGGGGGCGGGGAGAGGCAGTGGGAATGGAGCTGGGAAGGAGGCAGGAGGAGGAGGAGGGTGGGGGCGCTGCGTCCCCAACCCTATGAGAGCAGGGCAGTGCCACCTCCTGCTCCCTGCACGCCCCTGGGTGATGGGTGATGACGTGCCCTGTGCTGGCACACTGCAGTGACAGCACCTGCTGGGGCCTTGCTGGCTCGGGGCCAGCCTTGTCCTTGTCCCCATCCCAACAGTGGAAGGAGGATGGAGCGGTTCTGGGGCCCTTTGCAGCAGCACCGTGGGGCTGTAGGGCTGGGCAGCTCCATCCTCAGCCCGTTGCCCTGCTGTGATTTGTGTGGCCGTGGGCTGGGAAGGGGCTGTGCGACTCGGGGCAGGGCAGAAAATTGCTGAGTGTTGCCTTTCTTGCCATGAAAGAGCCAGAGCAGCTTGAACTAAATCGGATCCTGCTGATTGGAATTAGTTCAAATGCAGATGGAGCTAACTAAGCTGGCGGTAAGCATTTGAACGGCGCAGCGTCCAATTCCCATCAGCTGATTCAAGGGCTTTTCTGGGCAGCATTAACAAAATGCCACCGAGCGGACAGATGCCCATTGTGCGGGGGGCTGATGGACTCAGCCTGGTGCCAGGCTCGAACCCGAGCCACCCGTATGGGATGCAGGGACTTGGTGGCTTTCTGGGGCAGCGCTGGGGTTGAGGCGATGTCTGCTGCTGTCATCTGGATGGTGACAGCCCAGGGTGGGGGTCCCATCCCTGCTCCCATGGCCAAAGCCATCCGCTGGGAGTGGGGGATGCAGCCGAGCCCGGTCCCGGTGGGTCGACGCCAACTCCCAAGCAGTCAAGTGTGCTCAGGCTCTGAATAAGAAGCACTTCATTCTCTTTTCAAACTGTATAATTTCTGCCTGATTGTAATGGCATATTTTAAAATTACCAGAAATCGAAGCCAGAAAATGGATACGGCTGCTTTTACTGCGAGCTGCATTAACAAAGGATATGTAATGCGCGAAATAAAAACACCTCCCTGCCCCCCCTCCTCCTTTTTTTAAGACAGTAATAGGAGAAAATTGGTTTTGAAACTGAATAAAAGTCCCTTTCAGAGGAAATCATTTCTTTCAGGGTACCTTTGCTGAAAGTAAAATAGTGAATAATGAAAGGTGGTTACATGATTGTCTTTCATTTAGAGAGCGCTAGGACAGATGGAATCTGGGAGAAATGCAAGATTGGAATAATTGCATGGTAACAAGGCGCTTGTTGTGAAATTAGTATCTTAAGAAAGTAGTGAAAAAGGCTTTTACTCATGAATACTTCATTATTAGGAGAAAACAGCACCATTTGGGTTCTCCAGACACCTGCTCTGTGTGTGATGGCTCTTCCTCGCCTCTTGCTCCTCACATCTTGCTCTCAGCGTCTCCGTTCCTGAATTTTGCAGTGCTGGAGGCCACCATGTCCCCACCCTGGGAATGAGGCAGGAGCTTGTGGTCCCAAGCCCACATTGGTCAGTTCAGAGGTAGGCAGGAGTTTGCTACCAGGTGGATGTGAGGGAGCAAGGGGTGAGGATGGAGCTTGGTGAGCAATGCTTACCCTAAGCACTCCAAGCACCAGGCTCTGCGATGGAGCTGGAGAAGCGAGATACCCTCTGTGACATCCAGCCCTGACACCTCACGTGGACCAGAAGCTGCAGTTGAGGATGGGTTTGCTATCACTGCCCGCTCTGTGCACAGTGCTGCTGCCGTGCCAGCAGGAGGCATTCACTGTGGTTCCTGCAGGACATGCTGTGTGCAGGACGTGCAATTCACAGATCAGTGGTGGAGGTGCCTTTAGCCTGACCCCTGCAGATTTCCCAGCCGGATTTTGGCACACCTCAGGACCCAAGTGGGATTTTGCTGCCTGAAGGCCGAATCCCTGCTGTGCATCCAATGGCTGCAGCTGTCCCCGGGAGCAGGAGGAGCTGCTCTGTTTCCTGCAGGAAGAGCAGAAAGCGTCACGGGGAGCACCAACCACCCACTGAGCCCTTCATATTTATTTTATAGAGCTTCATATTTATTTAAGGCTTCCATACTTATTTATTTATCTCCAAAAGAGCAAAGGCCCCTGCGCAGTGGGTGCGAGAGCTCCCAGCCTCCATGCATGCAGTCTTTGCCCAGCAGTGGGTGCGAGTGCATGGCTGGACCCCCCCCTCCTTACCACTGTTTCTCTTCTCTTGGCAGTGCACGGTACGGCTGCGGCCGGCCAGGACTCCCAAGACCATGCTGGCGTGCCTGCAGCGAACCCAGAACCCACCTGGGCAGCACCTGGCCTGTCCCAACCCCAACAAGGCACTGGAGCCACGCAAGTGTAAGTGCCCGGGGCTGTGGGGAGGGATTGCGTGCAGCATCGTGGGGCTGATGGGATGCTCTCAGGTCTGGGATGCTCCAAGATCCGTGGTGCTCCGAGAGCTGGGATGCTTTGAGGACTGGGGTGCTTCAAAATCCAGGGTGCTCCCAGGCATGGGATGCTCTGAGATCTGGATTTCTTGAAGATCTGGGATGCTCCCAGATGTGGGGTGCTCTGAGATCCAGGATGCTCCCAGGTATGGGATGCTCCCGTGTCCAGGATGCTCTGGAGCCAAGCTGGTGCCTCGCTCTCAGCATCCCCAGGGCACGCACGCGCCGCTTGCTGCTTTGATGTTCCTTGTCTTATTGGAAAAGACATTTATTTAACTGATAATTAAAAAGAGCAGGAGAAGCGGGGGTGGGGGGCTGGGGGAGGAAGAAGACAAGATAAGCAAATTAAATTGGGTCACTGGGGCTGATAAGTGGAACTTCAGAAAATCTCATGCAACTGCCTGCAAAGCACAAGGCAGACAATGTCCGGTACCTGCTCACAGCTCCCAGACCTCCAGCCCCCACTCCCTCCTTTCTCTCCATCCCTTCCCCCCGTAATTACTTTCCCAGTTTTGCTGCAGCTCGCCTTCCCGACGAGCTGGCCTTTCAGATAAGCTGTAAACTAGTTACATTAAAATGGGTTCCAAAAGGTCACTCCAGTAAAGCACCTGTCTCTCCCAGCCTTTGTCTCTCAATCCAAACCATGATTAAATGTATATTTAATGAGCCTGCTTTAGGCAGGCGTGTTTGACCTCCCCGGCTGGGAAAGACGCATTAAGATTCTCAAGTGATGAATGTGTGTTTTAAAGAGGGGAGTGGATATTTTTCTGCTGGTCTCAGTTGGATTTTTAAACATTGCAGGCTGAAGACAAATCAGCTGCTAAAGCTCTGCTTGTTAGTGTGTGACAGCCCCTAGGCATTTGTTTAATGATCTGTATTTTCCCGGAGACGTTTTCCCCTCTACCTGGGCATCCTGGCACCACTGGCACGGGGTGGCACCAGCATTGCCCAGGGGTACACGTGGGAGTTGAGGCTGTTGTGTTGGGGCACAGGATGGATGGGACCGGTGACCCCAAGTGCTTTGTGCCAGGCACCATTGAGCTTTTGGCTCTCGGTGAAGCAGGCACGGCCCGTGTGCTTGTGCTGAATCCGTGCTGCTCAGGTCTCTTCCCTATTAGTGTCTGGAAGGAAAATGAATGTTGCTCTTGTAAAATTATTCCTAATCCGTCATGCCTGAGCAGCAGCACAGGGCTGGCGCGAGGGCTGCGGCTCCCGGCGCTTCTTGGTGCCATGTGCTAATGAGTGGAGCTGTGCCCTCAAGGCCAGGGCCTGCAGTGCAGACCCCAGTGGGGTTCATTGGGGACCCCCAGGAGCGCAGCACCGGTTGTTCTGTGTTGTGCCCACTGTGATGCTGAGGTCAGGATGCACCCATTTGTGCCTATAGTGGGCGCCCAGTGCATCCCAGGAGTGGCTGAGGGCTGGGGGCTGTCACAGCCCGTTTGGTATGATGCCAAGGAGCACCACCCCATGGCCTGGTGCGGGGGATTCAGTGGTCCCTCTCATTTCCCATCCTGCTGAAATGTCATTTCCCAGCTCCTGAAATGGAGAAGGTGCCAAAACAACACGGTCTGGGGAGCTGGAGCCTGGATGTGGTGCTGCCATGCAGCAAAGCACCCTCAGCAGTGACAGCCACCCATATCCCAAAAGGGTTCCTCAGCCCCAGGATCCCCAAACTGCATCCCTGGCAGTAGGGGCGGCTTGCAGAGCTGCCGCCACAACCAAACCCAAGCAGATGGGGAGTTGCACAGGCACTGGGGCAAGACCACACTCTGGGGTTCATTCCCGCCCGTCCTCAGTGTGCACTGCTCATAGACACGTTCTCCCAGTGTGCTTGCCGCTGGCCAGGTCACCTTAATCAAAGTTTAGCTGACCGTATGTTTCCGCTCATTATGGGAAAATACAGCATGTCTCTCTCCTCTCTGCCTCCTGCTATTTCAAATTAAATTGCAGGTGACATTCAGGGCCACGCATCTGGTTTTGAATACAATTTTCCCTTCTTTATTTATGGCACCTGCGGTAAGCGGGGCAGGGAGGAGCTCGTCCCGCAGCGCCTGCCTGGCTATTCGGACAAGATAGCATTTTCTTAAAACGAGACACAATTTAGAAGTGCCTCTGATTACTTAATTTGCTCCTGAGTATCTCAGTAATTATCTTTATGGGTCTTATTTCTGTCCTCTGGCATTGTTTCTGTCGATATTAAATGAGTCTGGCTCTCGGCACATTGGCCGTCTGGCCCAGCACCACTGTGAAATCCTATTACCCTGCCGGTGCCACTGATTAATTTTTGTATTAATTTCACGTAGAAGGTGAGCGGATTCATTTTCCTGCCCGTGGTGGGAGCCAACAGCCCCAGCACCCTCATCCCCTGGTTGTTCCCTGCACGCCAGTCCCAGCACATGGTGCTCCGTGCTCCGGCACAGCCCCCTCTGATCATCCACTGCATCCACTCTGGGTGATGGCACCATGATGCTCACAGCAGGAGCCAGGTTTTGTCACTGGTGTTGTGTTCTGGACATTGCACTGGGACGGTGCCCCACTCCAGCAGGGAGTAGGAGCTTTGGAAGTAGCAGCATCCTTGGGAAGATATCACGTCCAATTAACTCCAGCAGGCTGCTCCCTTTTGATTTTATTCCGTGTGCATTACAGGAATCCTGAGCTTTATTTAAATTATAAATCAAATAGTACCATTCTCAGCTTGGCCAAACTCTTTGCTTTACTTGCTCTCTGCAGCGATGGCTTATATTTAATTAAATGTTCCTTTCTGTGTGCCCACCTCCGGAGCTCACTGCGCTGCCGTCAGCTGGTCGGGCAGTGGGGGGCCGTGGGATGGGATCAATATTTAGCCAGGAGGGATGGGCAGCTCCTTGAGCTCTTAAGCTTTAGGACGTGAACTCCCAGTGCAACAACTCTCGTTGCGTTGCCCATTGCAGGGCTGCCCGGGGGCTCGTGGTGCTGCAGCCCTGGGGCTGTGGGTTGAGAGATGCCCCAGTGAACTGCAGGTCTGGCTGGGAGGGCAGCACGCTCCATTCCTGCTGGATTTGTCCCACTGGTGCTTTCTCGACCTGCTCATTTGTGGTGCTGACAGCTGCAGGCTCGTCTCGTTATTCCCAGCTGCCCCATTACTGCAGGGGAGTCCAGGCTGGTTGGAAAGGTTGCTCCACTCTGCAGCCCAGCTGCAAATAGGGGGATATTTCCCTGGCTCTGCTCACTCTTTCTACCATCAATATGGGCATTGTGGATGCATGCCCTCACCTCGGTCCCAGTGCCCATCAGCTTCACCAAAACATCCCCTTGGGGATGCTTGGTTCAGGGTCCATAGGTCAGTGCAGCACCTGATGTCACAGTGCAGGGAAGATGGGGAGGGCCAAAGCAGTCCCTCTGAGCGCTGCAGCCCCAGAGAAGGGGGATGCTGTGTCCTTGCTTTGATGCACCAGAGGGCTGTGGAACAACCCCACCTGTTTCTCACACATCAAGAGCTTTGCCGAGCTGTGTTTTCTCCCTCCTCGTCTGCTCCCTTTTTATTTTTTGCAGATGCCTTTTAGAAAGATGAGATAACGAGTGCCATTTGTTTACCGAAGCCTGTTGTGGAACAAAAGGGGGTTGACATGCTCACATCAAATGCCACCTTGTGCTGCAAACATCACAGCTGTAGGGTCGGATGCTATAGGGACAGCTTTGTGCTGTGCATTGCATGTCGGTCCCAAGCTGTTTTTGGGGCATTCCAAATGTCCCTGTGCACTATGGGACGCACCCATGGCAACTCACCTCTGAGTGATAAAACTCTTTAATTGCATGTGGAATCAAATGGCATTGAATGGCTTCTCATTACACAATTCTACTTACACCAAGGGCATTTTCATTAAAGTAGCTGCAGCTAAGCTCTGCTTTTGTACACACCCATAAAATATCATTTTAATTTCATGAGGGGTTACACATGAGTGAAATAAGATTAATTCTTTCATTTTCAGTTTCTGGAAGGGATCGGTTAATGATGGTTCTGTGTATTTATATACGTGCCATAAAAAAAAGAGTTCAATTAACTGCCATGCCCAAAATGTGCTGTTGACTTGCATTTTCCCTGCCAGGAAATGCTGCAAAAACACTTTCAATCAGTCACGTGTGCAGGGGGAGATGGATGGGTGGGGGAGCTGTGAGTGGGCATGGGGTCAGCCTACAGGTGAGATCCCATGGTTGTCAAGGATGGAGCTGGGCCTGAACCTTTGTGTGCGTTCAGCCCCTGATAACCCATCCCATGAGTGATTTTTATTTGCATTCAGACTTTTCCTCATCGCTCTTTCGTTCTCAGCTATTGCAGGGCTTTTTGCTACCGGTGCCTTAATGGGAACTGTAGGAGCTTCAGGAGTTTTGCAGTGCCCCGGTTTCCATCGGTCACACCAGCCATTGGCATGAAAAGTCCAAGTTTTGAAACAGATCTTATGTTAAAACACTGTCATTGGCATGCACCTGGCCCAAGTAACTGAGTGAGGGGCTGGGGTGAGCTGCAGGGCTGTGTAGGGGTCCCTCCCATTGGTGGCTGCATGGTGGGATGGCATCAAGGTGGCATTCGGATGGCATTGTGTCAGCCATGGGATAGCACTGGGATGGCATCAAGATGACATTGGGTCAGCCAAAGGAGTGGCATTGAGATGGCATCAGGATGGCATTGGATCAGCTGTGGGGTAGCACTGGGGTGGCATAGCATCAGCCAAGGAATGGCATTGGCTTGGCGTCACGATGACACTGGGTCAGCAGCAGGGTGGCACTGGGATGGCATCAGGGCAGCATGAGGGCAGCATCATGGTCTCATGAGAGTGACATCAGTGCAACAATAGGGTGGCCTTGAGATGCCCCTGGGGACAGCATTGGGGTGGCACCGGGATGCCATTGGATTTGAACTGGGGTGCCATCGTGGTGCTGTTGGGGTGAAACAGGGGAGCTATTGTGGTGCCATCAGAGCAACACAGAGGTGACATTAGCATGTCCCCAGAGCCAGCATCCCCACGCCTGCTGGCCACGGTGCCGCGGCAGCGCGCGGTGCTAATACCTCGGCGAGGAGACAAATAGAAAGTGACACATGTGTGTGTAGACTGGTATTTGTGGTGACGCTTTGACTGCAGATAATAAAGTGCTCGCCCTGAGGTGATCCAATTCAGCAAACGCCTCGGCAAAGCCGCGCGCTCCTTCAAGGGAGAGAATAAAGGGGAGGAAAAAAGGCCCGTCTGAAATGACATGTCAGCCTAAAAAGGGAACGTGTTAATGGATGAATATCTCGGGATGGCAAAGCCCTGCTCTTCCCTTTGTGCTTTGTCATGAATTTTGTTGTCTTTGCACATTACGGCTCCTGCGCGGCTGCCGCTCGAGGTTTGCCACCTACGTTTATTCAGATGGATTTCTCCAGCTATTATTCCTGTAGTTGTTTTTAATTTAAGACCTTGAAGCCGGTGCGCATTTTTCTCTCACCGGGGCGGCTCTGCTGGGGGAGGCTTTGTGGCAGCTGCGTGCAGAGCGGGGCTGGGGGCTCCCGGTAACGGGGACCCTTCAACTGGGGAGCTCTTGCAGTTGGGGTGCTCCTGCAATGGAGGGGGCTCCTGCAAATGGTGGGACTTCTGCAAGCAGGGGGTCTCATGCGTGGCAGAGCCCATAGCAAGGGATGCCGTGGGGCTGCTGTGCACCCCGGGCAGTGCTGGTGGGGGGCTGGGGACCACGCAGGTGCAGACTTCCCCCGCTGCATCCGCCACACGGCGGTGGCCTCTGCACCACCCATCCTGGGGACACGATCACCATAGAAACTGCTGCACTTCAAAGGGTGGAAAACGGCAAAATCCGACAGGGAAGGAAGGAAGGCGTGTAACAAGGGCAGTGCCAGTGCAGCTCGGCCAGGGCAGCATCCCCACGTGTCCCCACGTGTCCCCGTGTGTCCCCCCAGTGCCAACACGGTGCCACTGGTACCCGTGAAGCTTTGTCAACAGGAACTTGGGACCCCAGCATCAGGGGTTTTTGTATTTGTCAACACTCACCACGCTTTGTTTGTTTTCTTCCAAGTGTTGTGCAAATATTTAGGTTTTTAAAATCTGCTCGCTGTTTTGCAGAGAGAGAAGGGGGCTGCTGGTCTATTTTAGGAGCTTTGAAGTCGCTGTGACTTCCCCACTACGTGGGAGAAGAGCACCTCATCCCAAAGCTGAGTGAGCTCTGGGCTCTTCCAGAATGGAATTCCTTTTGGGAGGAAGGAGTGGAGCCTCCCCATGTCCCCGTGGGGTGTGTGGCAATCGCTGGTGCTGGCTGCTGCCACCGCATCCCTGCCAAGCCCTTGTCCCCTCCATGCGCTCTGATGTCCTGTTTGTCCTCTCCTCAGCGTGCTGGGAATGCCTGGATGCAGCAGGTGCTGCGCTGAGAATTGTGCAGCCAAAAGCAGAGCAAGGACACTGCTCTGGCTGGGGACATCCCATCACCATGGCACAGCTCCTCCAGTTTCTCTTGCCACTGGTGCCAAAGCGTTCCCATGCCTTTTGTCAGACATTTTGCACAGGCTTTTCCTCGGAGCGCAGCAGGGCTGAGGCTGCCCCAATCCATAAACAAAGATTTATTTCGGATTGCCGCGTTGTCAGGGCCCAGGTTTTAAATCTGTGTCTTGAACCGAATTTGGTGGCCAATTTGCTAAAGTAAAAAGTTGTTTAGCTGGAGGCGTAATCTTATAAGCCTATGCTGCCATTATAATGGCTTCTCATTTCTGCCTAGCTTTCCAATAATGCTTTGAGCAGAAGCTTGGAGTAATATAAAAAGCCATAGGATTATTACTGCGGGCGATGCATTTTCCATTTACAGTAATAAAATACTGAAGAAACAAAACAATTTAAAATTCCAATAAAATTCAAAACAAATCTTTGGCTGCTGAGCAGATTCAATTATTTAGCTGTTATTGAGTGCAGGCTGGAAAAATAGAGCAGGTCAGGGAGGGAGGGGGAACCCAACGCTGGCTGTGTGTTGTCTTTATCTGGGGAGAAAGGGAGAGGAGGCAGGAGATGGCCAGTGGCACCCAGTGGGACAGGCAGGCACCAATGGGTGTTGCGAGGATGGGAATCATAGAACTGTGTGATCATGAAGATTGGGAAAGACCTCCAAGATCATCACGTCAACCTATCACCACTATGTCTGCTCATAGAATCATTAAGATTGGGAGAGACCTCCAAGACCTTCATTCAAATCCAGCCATCAAACCATGCCGTGTTAAGACTGGAAAAGACCACCGAGATCATCAAGTCCAACTGGCAGCCCATCACCACCCTGCCCACTAACCCATGTTGTGCAGGTTGCCCTTTGAGCCACTGCTGCCTCCATCATCCACATCCTCCTCCTCCTCCTGTGGCTGCGTGGATGAGCTGCTCACCAGTTCAACATGCCCAGTGCTCACCATGGGGAGCAGAGGGGGCTGCACCACATGCCCCCACCTTTAGCATGACGTCCCCAAAGGTTCAGCTTCAAGAAGAGGAGGGGGGAGAAAACTGCCAGCGGCCGGCTGAGCGTCGGGCGGGCTGTCTGTGCCTGACGGGTGACGGCGGTGCTTCGGGAGAGTTTGCATCTCGCAGTAATTACAGCCCGTTAGAAAGCAGTAATTACTCCGGAGAGGGGGAGCCGCTTACCAGCAGCGCGCACGAGCGCGCCAGGAACCTCTTGGAAATTGGTAGCTCTGTAATTTTCCCAGTGGGGGTTTGGTGCGTCACCCTGATATGTGACAACACACTGAATTTGTGACTTGTCAAATCCAACCCAGCTGGTGCAAAGAAGGCGACAAAGGAGGCTCCTGGCTCTCCCTCGGCTAGCTGGCAGCCGTGCGTGGGGCCATCGGCGAGCGGTGATGTGTGGGGCGATGCTGCTCCATCCATCCATCCATCCCCCTTTTATGTTTTTAATTTTTTTTTTTTGCTCAGAAAGGAGTGTTCTCCTCCTTCCCTCCGTGGAATGGGTTCATTAGGGATTCTGCAAGTGTCACCAGCTAATTAGTGTCATGTTAATTGAGCATTCACGATGCTGCCACCTCCAAGGACAGCGGTGCCGGCGTGAAGGGGAATGCAGATGCATGGTGCTCATGGTGCTGCTGGGCAGGTGCCCCCAGTCCCCACCGGGTCCCAGAACTGGTCATACTGGGTGGGTTTGCCCAGCATGAGCAATGCCCGTATTCTGCTGCTAGAGGCTGTAACATTAAATCCTGCTCAAAGACCCTGGTTTTAATTGGCTTAATATACTCGTTAATAACAGTGTCTATTTAAGACACCTGTAAAAAGCCCATAACATTAACTTAATGGGAGAAATGGTCGGTGAACACTCTTCCATTCTGCCTTTTAAATTATTGGTGTGCCGTGTTAATGGAGAGGAAAGGGGTGGCCATCCATGGCCTCGCTCCCTGCATCCCTGGGGATGTTCCCACTCCTCCATGGGTGTTGTACACCAGGGCCCAAGGGTGCGAGTGCCCCAGCATCCCCCTAAGTGCTGCTTTTAATGTCGAGCCTTGCTCTTGCAGGCACAAGGAAGGGTCCCTGGGAAGGCTGGGCTCCATGGTGGCACTTGGCATGGGGTGGGCTGAGGATGGCTGTTGGCTACTGGTCATGCTGGCAACTATTTGAGGCAATGGCAGTGCTTAAGCCCTCTCCACAGTGGGAGATGTGGGGATGTTTTGGGCAATGGGACAGTGGATAGACCCATGGAAGAAACCCTTGGGGCCTGTCTCCTTTGCCTCCTTTTTGGCAATGTCAGCAATAACTCCATGGATGGAGGCAAATTCATGGGCACCGTGCGGGGGTCCCAACACAGTGCTGCATTAGGAACTGGAAGCCAACCTAGCCCCCCACTGCACACACGTGCTGGCACGGACGTGTGCACGCATGTGCAGATTTTAAACACCTAATTTATTCCATCTATTAGATAGATTTTGTAGATTTAATCATTTTCACAGTTGGTGGCTCATTGGATACTCAAGATAAACTCCAAATGAAAGTATAATGGGTACGACAAATGAGTTTTCACACCAGAATGGCAGAAACTTGCTTGGGAAAGAGTTTGAAAGGAACAAAAATATATACATATATAATTTTTTTTTTTTTCTGCAGTGCTTTTGCTGACTACAGTAGGTTACCACAGTTAATTTCACCAGTTTTGTTCATCTGTAAAATTGCATAAAAGTGACATTTTTGTGCTCATTATAGGAACTGCTGATTTATGGCTGGTAAATGCAATGCTTTTCCATTTTTGGTGAGGTTCTCGTAGCAGCGCAAAGCACCCATGAAATTGCTTGTATAATGTAGTTTAAATCCAATCTCAGAGAAAGATTCCCCCGTTGGGTAAAGTGACATTTCCATTCTCCACACCGGGTTTATTTTAGGCCACTTAGAAGTGACTTTCTAAGCGCGAGGGGGCAGGTTTGTGCCGTGACCTCTTTTCTGTTGGGTGGGTGATGCTGGAGAAGGAAAAGGAGGAGGATGTGGAGGAGGAGGGGGTGAGGCTGAAGGGGCCTTGGAGTGGGATTGATGCTGTGCTTTGCTCCCGCAGGCGAGACGGCAGCACCCATGCATTCCCCGCGCTACCCCAGCCCTGCCGAGCTGGACGCCTATGCACAGAAAGTGGCCAACAGCCCGCTGACCATCAAGATCTTCCCCACCAACATCAGGGTCCCACAGCACAAGCACCTTAACCGAACGGTCAATGGGTACGACACCACGGGGCAGCGCTACAGCCCCTACCCCGTGCACGCCGGCGGCTACCAGGGCCTCCTGGCCATCGTCAAAGCCTCCAGCAAAAGCGTGGTGAAGAACGCGGAGGGCAAGCGGACTAAGCTGTCGCCCGCTCAGGCCGGCGTCGCTCCCTACCCATCCTCAAGCACTTTAGCCCCAGGCCCCTCCTGCGCCGGCCCGCTGAGCTACCACCAGAAGCAGCTGGAGGGCCCCGTGCCCCCCACTGTGGCGGTGGCGAGCTCTGCGCTGCCGCTGGCGGGCCGTGGCCTGGCGCTGCCGCCCTCCAACCTGCCCTCCATCCAGAGCATCATCTACCAGCTCAACCAGCAGTGCCAGGCCCAGGCCTCGCAGCCTGCCTGCCCGGTGCTGCCGGCCGCCCACCCCAGCCCGGCCAAGCACGGCGCCTTCCCCGCCATGGCCTCGGCCTACGCCGTGCTGCCCGAGTGCCGCAAGGGAGCCGAGCTGCCGCTGGGCTCCACCCCGGCACTGGGGCCGAAAGCGGGGCTCTACCCCGACGGCGTGGACTACCTGCTGTGGCAGCAGAAGCAGCAGCAGCACCTGCGGGTGTACAGCGGGGGCAGCGGGGCCCTCAGCAAGTCGCCCGAAGCCTGCGCGGCCGCCTCGCGACCCTACGGGCCGGCAGGGGAGAAAGTGAGCTCATCCCCATTGAACTGCATGCACGGCAACTTCGCGGTGGGGCAGTACTTCGTGCCGCCGTGGAACAGCGTCCTGGTGACCCCCACCAGCGACTGTTACAACCCACCACCCGAGCTGGGCCCCGTACCACGCGAGCTCGGCGTGCCGCCAGCCGAGGGGCTGCCCAGCAAGGCGCTCTGCAACACCTCCATCCTCAGCAGCAGCCTCCAGTCGCTGGAGTATCTCATCAACGACATCCACCCGCCCTGCATCAAGGAGCAGATGTTGGGCAAGGGCTATGAGACCGTGTCTGTGCCAAGGCTCTTGGACCACCAGCACGCCCACATCCGCCTGCCCGTCTATAGATAAGGGACGGCTGCTGCTCTTCCCAAAGCCAGGATGGCGGCCGGGCCCTCCGGCACCGTGAGGCCGTTGCGGGGTGATGGGGTTGGTTGGGGTCAGTTGCCGACACGGGTCCCGCAGGTACTGGCATGGAACCGGGCTCATCGAACCGCGTGCGCCCGCTGGAAGCCAAGGATGAAGGAATGCTTGTCTTATATAGCTCAGAAATCATTTTATTTCCACGAATGTGAACAGGGAATCGCTACGAGTTGCTGCTATCCAGGGAGAGGAGCTCCGCTCTGCGCACGGCGCGGGCTGCAGGCAGGGTCCCGCCGCGCTCACCTTTAGCTGAAGTCCGTAACTTGCACTGCTTTGATTAAAGCTCATAACTGGGGACAGCCTGGACACTATTTAAGAAGAACACTTGAAAACTTGAACAGATTTTTCTTTTTTTGTTGTTTTATTTTTTCATTTTTTTCAGTTGCACACAGCGCGCATCTTGGGTGCCGGCCAACGAGGGGGATGATGAGCCCACGGCACTGCGCCCATGGTACAGATTTCCAAGGTTTTGGGTTTTTTTTTTTTTCTTTTTTTTTTTCTTTTTTTTCCCCTTCCTTTTTTTTCCCCTTCTTTTTTCAACTGTCTGTTATACCTTTGTTCCATTCTAGAGGCAGACAGTATGTAGGACGACGTTCAGTACTGCATCCAGCCATCGCACCACTGTGGGATCATGGCATGCTTCTTCATCTTTTCTTTCTTTTTTTTTTTAAGCAGTTCAAAAATGCTCATTTTGCTCCGTTATTCACTCTGTGTAATTATGTGCTTAATAGGTTTATTCATTTAAAAAAAGCATCACAAAATGTTTTTTGATGAGTCAAGGAAACAGGAACACTACCCCGAGGAAACCCAAGGTGATTGTGCTCAGAAAAGAGGTACTGTATCCCTGAAAGGCCTGTTCAAGCACTAAGTGCATTTACAAATCTCTGAGAATGTTTTTTTTTATACTAAAATCGACCATTATATTCTACTGTGAGAAGTGCTGTCTGCACTTATATTGTTTTAAAAATGAGAGAAAACAAACGAGAGGAAAAAAAAAAAAAAAAAAAAAGGAAAAAAAAAAAAAAAAACCAAACCACAAAACCTGCAAGCTGTGTGTCCGGATGGTGTTTTTCCCAAAGTAAAACCAGGATGTCACTGGATGTGTGCTCTGGATTTTGTTTGCTTGCTGTGGCTCTCACCCAGCCCTATAGGGATCCGCTGTCCCACCCCCAGCCCGACTTCACCCCGCAGATTTTAGGGCACGGAGGGGCACCTATAAATAACCTCCTAACAACTCTGATCTGTTAATCCAGCCGTGGCACCAGGCAAGATGTACGCATGTGTGTGGGGTGTGCGCCAAAGCCCCAGGATTAGGAGCCATGGCCCCACGTGCACTGGGGCAGCGCTGAGCCCAGTGGTGTCCCCACCTGATGCCATCAGGTGTGTGGCACTGGTGGCACTGCTCCCCATCTGTGTGAAGTTATTTGCCCCATAAAATTGGCAGCTTCCCACCCCGAGTGATAAGTGGGTTGCATTAGGATACGGGTACAAATGTTCTTCCCAAACCTACCAGAATAGGGATGGGAACAGGGATGGGAACAGGGATGGCCCATCACTGCACCTGGCAGAGCAGCTCCATCCATTTTGGTCGCACTCTGCCATATGTATTTGTGGGGACAGCAAGCAGGCATAACAGCCAGTCAAGGCAACAAAGAGGAATTGGGGCAAAAGGACAACCAGAGGGACAGCAGTGTCCATGGGGACACCCAGCAGAGCCACAGCCCGGCCATGTGCCGGATGGAGATGGGAGGGAGCGCTCTGAGCTGTGCTCCAGCACATGGGGCAGTGCCACCTCCATGGCAGCACCCTCCCTGCCTGTGGAAGGGCAGCTTTTCTGCTCCACAAATATCTTCCTATTAAAATAATCATCATAATTTTTGAGGCAGGCGCACGCCAGGCTGATATTAAACTTCGCAGCCGCCTTTGCTGGCTGAGAGCGAGGAGGAGAGACAGGCAATATAAATGGCACGGCTGCGAAAGGACTTAAAAAAACCCATCTCTCATTTTGATTGATATTAGCTTCACAAATTAAGCCTTAGATTTATCTAAAAATAAATTTGCTTCCTCGCTCCGCGTGCTGGATGACAAGTGCTTTTCTCTTCCCTTTGTTGGGTTTGTCATCGCCGGCACGGCAGCGTGGGAGGCGGGGGCTGCGCCCAGGGGGCTGCGGGGCACAGGGGGGTGGGCATGAGGCAAATATAGGCTGTATGGGAACTGTTGAGTCCCGGCCTGAAGCACTGATTGAGCACCTGGGAAAAGGAGCTGGTCAGCTATGGGAACACAGGTGAAGGCAATTCATGTGTGTGATCAGAAGGGGTGGAGCCTGGCTGCACCTCTTAGACCTCATTTAAGGGCTGACTGCTGCTAGGGAAGGATCTCTTTCTGGAGATTTCCTTTTGGTGAAGCTTTTGTCTGTGAACCTGGAATCTTCTGAGACAGGTGAGCAATCCTCTTCCTTTATAGTACCTTCCTATGGTGCTGGTCCTGTCATCACACCTTTGTTGTAACTTCCATTGCACTGATCTGTACAATTGCTACTCGAGCCCTGAGTCACCATCCAGTGAAAGGAGCATGGGGGGTGATCCTATGATGCCACCATGGTGTCCCTGTCACCAGCAGTATGGCTGTGGTGCCCACACTGACAGCACTGTAGCCATGGTGTCCCCATCACCACCATCATGGCCACGGTGTCCCCATTGCTACCAAGCCATCACGGAGTGCATCTCATAGGCCCACTTCACACACAGCCCCTAAAATCACACAGCCTTTGTGTGCACATCTGCACCTTTAGGACTTGAGAATTTGCACGGGGAGAGGGGAATTGGTTTAACTCCCATTGCACTGGGAAATCCCAGCCTTGCAGCCAGGACAGCGGTGGAGCTGGGGTTGTGCTGGGCAGCATGACTGCACGGCTGTGGAGACGGCAAATTGCATCGTTCCCAAATACCTCCGGCAAGAAGGATGGAGCCTGCCTGCAGCTGCATCATCCCTGCAGCTCATCTTATGATGCAGCCTGAGCCGAGAGCAGAACGCTCAGCTCTTCCTAAGTAGTGATAATGAAACTTCTTCATTCCCTCACCCTGGGGAAATACTTAAACCGCGGTACGAGAGATATATGTAAATCACATTTAAGCGGAGACGGCACGGTTAGAGCTGACGGCGAGCCATCAGGTTCGAAGATGGAGCGTCCCCTTTTCTGCTCGATCATCTGCTCAGCGAGCTGTGCTGCTGTGCCACCGTGTCACCAACCATCAGCGTCTGCCAAATCTGCGCTCCGAAGCCGTGCGCTCCCAATAACGCCGGGAGCGGCATTGCGCGGAGTGTGCTGCCCTCCGGTGGGAGCGGGATGCTCTGCGAGAGGGGCTGGGCACGAGGGCTGTGCCGAGGGGCCAGCAGTGCAGAGTGGCACAGCAGGCACTGCGCAACTCCCTCCGTCCCTCCCGCAGCGACATTCTCCCTGCTGACCCCGCTCGATGACACGAGGCCGTGGTGGCTGCTGTTTATTACGAAATAAATAGTCGTATAAATCTTGTGCAGAAAAAAAAACAAAAACAAAAAACAACAAAACCCCTCGGGGCAGAAGCCACTGGCCCGTGGTGGTTGGTGGCAGGGGAGCTCCCAGCACCCAGCTGCTGGCACAATGGAGTCAATGGTGCAGGAAAGCAAAGCAGTGGCACCAAAGACCCCAGAATTGCCAGGACTGGGACCCCAGTGGGATGGGCACTGCAGGGACACTGGCTGCACAAATCCCTGAGGAACAGACACGCTGGTGCTGTGGGGCCAGGCGGAGTCCATGCTAGAGCAGGGAGCTGGGGGTCTGCCCGTGCCGTCGCTCCCGTGCCTCTGCTGTGCCCGTGGTCCCCAATGGCACAACTACATCTTCTGTTGGGCAACTCTTGTTGAGCTCCACCACACGTGGCACCACTGTTGACCATCGATCTGCAGAAACTGAGAAACACTCAGAGCTCCCAGCTTCGTACTCACCTGTGGGCCCAGGGCTGCCCCCACCCCGCTCACCTCTCCGCAGCCGCCCCACAGTGTGGGAGAAGCCGTAGTACTGGTATGTATCGCTCTTGCCAGGGTCCTCACTGATGATGCCCAGGTTCTGGTTCCAGTGGGACCAGTTCACCTCATCCACCCTGCAGAGAAGGCAGAGCTCAATATCCTCTTGGCCTTGTGCCATCCCGGTACCTGTGGTGCCACTCAGGTGCAAACCATTTCACTCTAGTTAGGCTTAATAAGACCCCAACCTCACCAACCTTTTGGATCATGATACTGTAGGTCACTGCTCTTACCTGAAACACCAACGACGGTCAGGGGTCCCATCAGTGCCTTTCCCCACGGTCACCATCTCCCCAGAGCGGAATGCTCTCCGCAGGAAGAGAGGGAAGGAGCGCTCAATGTCCAGGATGGTGGTGGCCCACTGCCGGGAACACCAGGGACCCTTCAGCCCCCTGGGGATGGAGGCATCAGGGTCCCTCACCAAGGTGTTTCTGCTCAGATGGAGGTTGGCGTGGTGACACCGAGGCATGGTTACCCCATAGAGTTTGGCATGGTGACCACGTGGCGTGGTGACTCTATGGCATGGTGACCCCATGGAGCTTGGCACTCCCAATGCTGTACCTGCAACTTCCAGATGTGTTTGCTCTCCTTGGACACCTGGCCCACGGTCTCACCCATGAGGGCGATAAGCATGTTGAGGAGCAGCACGAAGGTGAGGATGATGTAGGTGACAAGCAGGATGATGAAGACACCTGGGTACTTGGCGCTCTCCAGCATCTCCAGGTCACCCATGCCAATGGTGAGCTTGAAGAGGTCAAGCAGGAAGGTGCTGAAGGTCTGACTGTCCCGGCATGAGGGGTAGGTGGGCAGCGTGCAGTTAGAGTGCTCCTCACTGCAGGACTCACTGCTGGGACACGGGTTCAGGAGGGACACCAGTGCTGGGGAGGAGAGACAGAGACAAAGTCTGCAGGGGCAGCACGAGGGTAGAACACCATGCTGCCAGGCTTTCTCCTTCTCCATTGCAGGAGGAGAGCGGGATGGAGCCCTACCTGAGGCATAGCCAATCATGAAGAGCAGATAGACCAGGAGGAAGCGGAACAGGTCTTTGAAGAGGATCTGCAAGTGACAGAGATGATGGCTTCGAGCCCCATGCTGAGGACTGCAGCGGTCCCACAGGGAAAAGACCACTTGGGTTACCCAACCACCTTGGGAAAGACCAGAAGATCCCAACACTACTGCACCTTCTGGATCATGATGCTGTAGGTCCCCGTCAGCTTGAGACCTCGCGTGAAGTAGAGTGCGTTCATCCAGCCCAGGACCAAAGCAAAGACCATGACAGCCAGGTAAGCCTCAACGCCGCCCAGGTACAGCCCTGCCGTGACGATCACCAGCACCGAGTAGATGAAGCTGCAGAAGAGCATAACTGCTGCCAAACACTGTCCCATCAAGTGGAGGGTTGCTCCAACCCCAAGAGATCCCATGGGCATCCCTGCTTACTAGAGCAGCTGGAACGAGCCATCGATGAAGAATGAGTTCACACCTGGGCACTTCTTCATGAAGAGATCTTTGATCTGGAGAGAGAGGAGAGGTTGAAGAGGGGCTGGGTTCCAGTGTCTGGAGGGCACTGCAGTGGGACCGGTGCCTGGGGACATGGGGATATCACCACCCGCTCCTGATGGCACTGACATTGGAGAAGAAGAAGAGGATGCCGGTGAGGAGGGTGATGATCTCCCCAGCCAGCCGCAGGTAGTCGATGGTCGTAGTGTAAGGGTACGGTGGCTGTGGGGAGAGTACACATCATCAGCATAACCCCAAGCCTACGCTCTGCCCTGTGTTCCCTGGCACTCACAGGGCCTTCCATAGGGCGGTAGTAGGCGATGAGGGTGAAGATGATCATGGCACAGAGGTAGGAGACCACGCTGATGTAGAAGGAGACGGCACCAAACTTGCGCCACTTGTCGCGCAGCAGTTCGTTGATGGGCTCCACGGCCAACATCTCATGGCGGTTCTGTCGGGACGTGGGCAGCTCAGAGGGGAACCCAGCCCTGTGTCCCCATTCCCTGTTCCCTGCGCACCTCAATCTTGCTGTTGTAAACAAGGATCTCCAACACGGACACCTCCTCCCCACAGGTATCCAGTGAGGAGAGATCATAGAGTGAGGAGTAGACGGGGCCGTATGCCCAATCCTTGAACTTGCGCGAGAGGTGCCGGACGTCCTCATCTGCAATCTCTCGGCGGATGATGTGCTGGAAGATCTGATGGGGGATCAGGGGGATGGATGGCCGTGGGTTGTACCCATTGCCACCCATCCTTGGGTGCTGGGATGCTGCAGCAATCCCCAGACTGGTGTAGTTTGTGCATTTTTAACCAACCCACATCATGATGGCGAGCAATGGAAAAGGACAGGAGGTAGAGCCACCGTCCCTGGAGGTATTCAAGAAAAGGTTAGATAGATGTGGCACTGAGTGACATGATCTAGAGCAGTCACAGGCATGGCTTAATGGTTGGACTCAATGATCTTAGTGGTCTTTCCAACCTTAATGATTCTATGATTCTATGACAGGATGTGACAAGGGTCTGGGGTTAATTAGGGAAAGGATGGGATGCAGAGAGGGTTTAATTAGGCAAGTTTCCCAAAGCACATCCACCAGCTCCGATGTTGCCATACCCCGATCTTGCCGGTCTTGGCAGCCATCATGAGTGGAGAGAGGCCATCGTTGTTGAGCAGGGCCTCAAGATTGGTGTCGGGGAAAAGCTTGGCGCACTTGATGAGGAGCAGGTCGTACATCTTGGTGACAAACTTGGTGTTCTCGCGGGTGTTGTCAGCGATGGCAACCAGAGCATGCAGCACGGTGTTGCCACGCGAGTCCTGGCGCCGCAGGTCTGCCTGCTTGTGCCCATTCTCCGTCAGATAGTGCACGATGTGGGGCTGGTTGGTGCAGGCAGCCAGTGAAAGGGGCAGCTCTCCTGCAGGGACAGCATACGATTGGGGACAGCCCTGGGTATGCGGCTGTGGTGCTGCCAGTCTCCTCTGCTCACCAAAATAGAAGTAGCCGCCCTCATCCTTGGGCTGGAAGAAGCGACCACGGGCCTGGGCGTGCACATCAGCACCCTTCTCCACCAGCAGCTCCACGTAGTGCTTGCAGCGGCGCTCAATGGCGATGTGCAGCGCTGTCTGACCTGCATTGCATCCCTGTCATCGTGCTCCCCATCACACCCCAAGATGAAGACGCCTAGATTCCATGCTGCCCCCCAGTTTGGTTCCTGAGCCTCCCAAAGGCTCTCCATCCCCACACAGTCCTCAGCTTTGCTGGCATCCTCCATCCTCCCCAGATCCCTACTGCTTTGGTCCTTAAACCTCTCCATAGTCCCCCACCTTTCCACGGTTTCCCCACCTCCTGCTGGTCCCCACACATCCCCTACCTCGGTAGTAGACATCACGGAAGGGTGAGTTGATGAACTCCCGCATGTTTCCCGTCTTCTCAGCAATATCCAGGAGGATGGGGATGGTGTCGTTTCGGCCTGCACTCAGGTTGAGCAGCGCCTTGGGCAGACACGTCTTCCCCGTTGAGGGCTCTGGGAATGGAAGGTGTTGAGACCCCAACCCACCAAACACCCAGTGCTTCCTAGGTGCTGCCACTGGTGCTGTACATCTCCGTCCCTATGGGGACATGGGGATTGCTGGTGGCCCTCCATGGCCGTGGTACAGCAGGGTCATGGGGCAGCCCACCACAGGTGCTCACCTCGGAACTCCTCATCCGTCAGACGCTTCTTGTGGGTGAGCAGGAAGGAGAGGAGACCCTCTAAGCCATCTGGGGACCCCCGGGAGACAATGTCAAAGAGGATGGGTCTGTTGAACACCTTGAGGACGGGCGGTGGGTTGGGAGCCGGCCCCTTGGTGCCAGACACCGGCTTCCTGCAACAGAACAGCACAGCTGCGCCCTGGGGTCGATTTCTTAATCTGTGCCTCGGTTTCCCCTGCTGCACCCATCTTGGGTGCTCCTAGGGTCACCACACAGAGCAGTCATGCAGTGATGATCCCAGCGGCACCCACGGGGCCAGGTGCTGCTGCATTTTGTGGAGCACGAGGGATGGGGTGCAGCCCACAGATACGCAGTGCCAACGGGTCCCCCCCAGGTGTCGGGCACAGACCGGCATTGTGCGCCCGGCTGCGGGCGGCCCCCCCCCCAGCTCCGGTTTCCTGACGCAGACCCAGGGCGGAGGCTCTCCTGAAAAGCCCTTTCATGCCAGGGCAGCCAGACGCCCGCACCGGAGGGAGCGGCCGCGGCACAGAGCCCTCTTTCACGGCGCAGGGAAGGGAAGAGGCGGGGGGGGGGGCACATCCCAGCCCCGTGGCACTGCGGGGCCACAGCGTGTGTGTGGCACCCCGATTTCCATACCCACAGCACTGCTGAAACCACCTAGAGAGCCCTGGGGGGGCTGTCCCCATCCAACCCCATACCCAAAGCACTGCACCCCATGGGCACCGGCGTCCCCACGCGCCCCCATACTCACTCCACGACCCTCCTGCGCCAGCGTTTGTTCTCGCTGGGGTGCTGCCTGTAGGTGCCGTAGTCGAAGAGGGAATCCATGGGGGCCTTCTTGGGTGCTGGGACAACCGACGACTCATAGATGGTGGATTCCAGCAGCTCCATGGGTTTTGGGGGACCTTTTCGGAACGCCCCGTGAAATTTCATCCGGAGGTTTTGCTTTCCATCCACAGCACCAGGGGGTCCCCGGGATGGCTCAGCAGGGGATGGGGTGTCTTCCACCTCAAACAGGTTGGCCAGTGAGGAGAGTGGGAAGGAGTCATCCCCCAGCATGTCCCCAGCATCACGGGGGTCTTCAGGGTCTGCCATATTCCCTTTGAGAGCAGAGGGAACCTGGAGTCACTCCCCAACACCCTTCCCATCCTCCCCTATGAGCACCCTATGGCCATACCCCATGGTGGGAGCAGGGTTACACCCTGGCCTAGGCATCATTTGGTGCCCCCCAGCCCACTCACCCGGCACAGCACGGGGACACAGCCTGGCCAGGAGGCAAGTAGCATATATAGTGCATTTCAACAAGGAATGATGAATTTCAATATGAAACCACAGAGTTTTTTTTAATAAGAAATGGATTTGGATAAGGAATTACGGATTTCGGTAGGAAATGATGGATTTCAGTGAACACCCCTGGGCTCCCCCCAGCCTCACTCCCCACCAAAACGCACCGTGAGGTCCCAAAATGCTCAGCCCCAGCACTGCCTCTGCCTCCCAGCAGCACGCTCAGCCCTCGCCCTCAGCCCTATGGGGTTCAGAGACAGAAAAAGCACATGGGGAAACATATCATTTTCTTTAGCTCTGTATGACAAGCCACAACAGACCACGGGCAATGGGGTTTGCAGCCCAAGGAGGTGCAGCATTTCCTTCTAGCTGCCTTTCCTGCACGAAATTCCACGAGCACCTGCCAAAGCCGCAGTGACCCCCATATCTCACCCACCCGACCCCAGGCAAACACAGGCCCTCTGCATGTTCCCGGTAGCAGACAGGGAATGCACAGATCAGGGAGCACCCAGCGTGCTCTGCTGTGCTGCAAATCCCAGCCCAAACCACAGCAAAGCACAGCTTTAGAGAACAGCATAGAGGGCACAGCCCAAATATAGCCCCAGCTGCCAAACCCAGGGGCCGCCAGCACTGCAGGGAGGGGATGAACAGTGTGGGTCTGACTCCAGCAATTTTGCAGCGGGTGGGTCTGGGTAGAGCAATGCATTGCAGCCCTATATTCTGCAGCCCCACGTTGTGCAGCCTTCAGGTGGGGGATTCCCCATTGGCAGCACCCATAGGGAGCAGAGTCTGGTGTGTGTGACCCCAGCAGAGGGAACATCACGCTGGGGAAACCACCTGGGCAGCACGCAAATGGAAATCAGGCTTCTGCCTCTTCCTGGAGGTTTGAACCGGTTTTCATTGAACTTAACCCATAGCAGCACAAAGAGAGGTCGTGCACCCCATCCCACAGCCATCAGCTGCAGCCCCACGTCACTGGCAATGGGGCAGAGCAGGTGGGGGAGGAAGCGTTGGGAAATGTCGGGCTCCAAATGGGGGCACTCCCACAGCACGTCAACTGCCAGGAAAGGTGTTGTCAATTGGGTTGACTTTGGCTCTTTCAGTTATTTGGGTTTTTTGGTTTTCAGACTTGCTCACCCCACGGAGGGAATGAGTCAATGCCTGGCTCAGCACGGCACGGCCCCGCTGCGGCCCCACGGCCCTCCTGAGCCCAACGCAGCCCCCTGCCCACCCCGGGGCTTTGGCAGTGGTGGCACTGGGACCTGCGGGTCACACTGGGGCGGACGGTGGCTTGCAGCCTCATTACCGGGCTGTGCCACATGAAGGCACAAAGCGAAATCTGGCAGGAGGGAAGCAGGGAACCCAGAGCCCACCCCAACGAGCCCGAGCGCCTTCCCAAAGCCAACAGCCCCCGGTAGGTCCACGCTCACCCTGGGGCTGGGGATAGGATTTTCCAGCTGCCCTCGGCCCCCGGAACCCCCGCAGCTCACATCCCTGACCGCTGCCCCCTCCCCACCCACCCTCATTCCCATCCCGGCCCCCTCCCGCCGCTCCCAGCCCCGTACCCGTACCGGTACCCGTCCCGCCGCCCGTCCCGCGCAGCTCCCGCAGCTCCGCCGCCGCCGCTGGGCCCATCCCTGCGCCCGTCCCTCCCCGCTCCCCGCCCCAGGGCCGCCTCCAGCGCAGCCCCCGCCCCGGTCCCGCACTACGCTCCAGGTTAAGGTGAGATTTATTGAGTTCTGCTTCCCGCTGGTGAAAGGTCCTTAAGGCATCCGGCAAACAGCTCACGGAACATCCCGGCACCGCTTCCGTCCGCGGCGCTGAAAAGGGTTGGGGGCACCGGGAAGGTCATCGCTTGGGATCCTCCATTCCTCCGCTGCAGGGTCAGAGCGGCGTTGGGTGCCCAGAGCTGCGTGAGACCCACGGCACAGCCAGGAGTGGGGCAGCCCCAGGATGCGGCCGCCCACCAAACGTCATTCCCTGCAACAGGTTCCCAGGAACGCGGATTTTTCCTCTGTGGTACAAAAGCTTGGGAAATCCCGAGGTGCCCCCGGGGTACAATTGGTTTATTGCTATATTCTCGATAGAAAATTAATGATTCTTTTTAGAAAACGGGCTATCGGCTGCAGATCCAGAGCAGAATGGGATTTGCGGAGCGGTGTGGCCCCGCAGTTGTGCTGACCCCATTAGGCTTTGTAGCTCAGCTCGGCGTTCATTCGGGTGTACATCTCATAGATGGCATCCAGGATGGGCGTCACTCTCGTGAGGAACTGGTGGATCTTCTCAATGCTCTCCTCCTCCTTCACCTCTCTGCCTTTCTCCAAAGCCTTGAGCAGGTCTGACTTGTAGGGCAGCGCGTAGACTGAGCCCTGTGGGATGGGGTGAGAGCAGAGCTGAGCCCTGGCTGCAGGGATGCCCAAAACCCAATGAGATCCCCAGGTCCCCCTGCCCACCCCACACTGGGATGACCCCATCTGCAGCAGTCCCGTGGAGATATCTCCTTAGAGACACAGGTAGTGGGCATGGTGGGGATGGGTCGGTGGTCGGACTGGGTGATCTTGGAGGTACTTCCCAACCTTAATGATTCTATGACCCCATGAAAAACTCCACAAAACGAGTCACCTCCCGCTCTCACCATGAAAAGCTTCTGCAGCATCCAGCCGTGGTACTTCTTGAGGGCAATCTCATAGGCTTTCATGGCATTGACACGGATGAGGTTGGGGTGCTCCTCATCCCGCTCGCCATCGGAGATGCTCTGCAGCAGCACCAGCATGAACTTCAGGCCCCTGCCGGGAGAGGGGGGCTGGTACTGTGACCCCGAGCCTTGGAACCCCAAACCCGGTGTGGGATGGCACTCTGAGCCCAAGCCCTACACAACCCCCAGCCCCACATCCCGGGCTGAGCCCAGGGGTGATGCATAAACGCGTCACCTCTTCAGCCACATCAGCGCCAGCGTCGCGCCCGTCTTGGGCCAGGCAGCGCCGTGCATCTCCTTCTCCACCTCCAGGATGTTCTGCAGCGTTTTGAACTTGGTGGGGTTGGAGTCGTAAACAGCCCGGATTTTCTGCAAGGGTGCAGAAGTGCGGGGTCAGGGTGGGCACCCATGGCCAAGCCCCGGTCCCACAACGCCGTGCAAGGGGTGGTGACTCCCTCGTACCTTAATGTTCCCGGCCAGGTCGGCTTTGACGGGTGAGTACACGATGGGCGTCCCCAGGCAGTCTGCGGGGACACGGGGTTAGCGTGGGACCGCGCGGGGTTCGCCCCGTGCCCGGCTGTCCCCGTGCGGCTTACAATGCCGCATTGTACAGCGCGGCGGCTCAGCCCCGTTCTGCCCCGTTCCATTCCGGGACACCGCCGGGGGGAGTCGGGCCGTTTCCCAACTCTGCTGCTCGGCGGGTCGGACGGGACGGGGCGCCACGCCCGGCCCTGACGCAACTCCGGTGCCGCCGGGCAGCGTCCCTCGGTGGGGCGGGGGAGCGGGGTGGGACCGGGGGCGGGACCGGAGGGTGCGGACCGGGACCGGGGGGGATGGAACCCGGGGGGTTTGGGACCCAGGACGGGGTCCCGGCAGCGGACAGGGCGCGCCCGGAACATGCGGAGGTTGGTAAGCGCTCCGTGCCCGCGGGTGGCAACGTCCCGGCGCGGTCCGGTATCGGGTCCAGCAGGTGCCGCAGCCCCCCTCGCCCCACTCTTACCGAAGAAGGGAGGCAGGTGCGCCACGGCTTCCAGGAACGGCAGCGTCTCGATCTGCTTGTCTGCCGGCAGCGGCCGGAACTCGTGCTCCAGCAGCAGCGCCATGCCCGGCCCGGCCCGGCCCGCACCGACCCGGCACCGACCCGGCAGCGCGGCGCGCCGCGCCACGCCCCTCCCCGCGGCCGACCAATGGCTGCGCACGGCCCACCGGCCAGGCCGCCAATCGGAATGGGAGGGCGGGACTTGTAGCTGTGAGTGGGCGGTGCTTAGCGCTGCGGTGGGCGTGGCTTCTCGAGGTGAGGGGGCGGGGTTTGCGGTGCGCCGAACCTCGGAAGCACGCGGTCCGCACCGGGACCCTCCGGGACCCCCGGGCCCCGCAGCTCCGGCCGAGGGAGCGGGCAGCTGGGCAGCCCCTCTGCCCTGTGCACCCACTGTCCTGTACGCCCACACCCGTACAGCCGGGCCCCGTGCCGGATGCTGTGATCGGGTGGCTCTGAATTATTTAGTGGAGGTGAAGGTTTCACGGTGGGCAGATGGCACGGAGCTCGGTGACCCGACCCGGGCAGCAGCCAGGACTGAGCTCAGTTCAACAGCTCAGGCTGCCCAGGGCCCATCCATGGCCTCGGGCCCATCCAGGGATGGGGCACCCACAGCTCTGAGCAGTGTCAGGGCCTCACTGCCCTCTGAGCAAAGAATTTCTTCCTGACATCCAACCTCAGTTTCTTTTCTTTTAGTTTAAAGCCATTCCGCCCTGTCCTACCGCGATCAGGCTGCGTATAAAGCCGCTCTCCTCCTGTTTACAGCCACGGAGCTGCAGCCGGGACAGGCCTGCCTCCAGCAGGAGGGCAGTTCCCAAAACCCAGACACGTGTTGGGCGCTCTGGATGCGCTGTGCAGAAGGAGGCACGGGGCAGCACCAGACCTCATCCTCTCGTAGTCAGCACCCAGCGGCCGTGCTCAGGGCCAGGCCGAGGAAACCCAAACCTTTCACCCGCCTGAAATATTCACAGCGGCATGAATACTTAAAGCCCGGGCTGTGCGGCACGACGCGCGCTGACGGCAGCTCAGGTGTTGCGGCCCTCAGCCCTCCCCGCACGGCCTCTCCGTTCCGCGAAGCGCGGCCCCGACGCTTTTTGTCCCTCGGCGGCGCCCGTACCCGTTGCCATGGGGACGCGCGGCGGCCGTCGCGGCCTATAAGGGCGGGCCATGGCGCTGTGGCGGGCGACGCGAGGCCGGGCTCTGGAGCGGCAACGGGAGCGGGAGGCGCAGAGCCGGCTGCGCTGGGAGAGCTACAGCCGCTCGCTCGCCCGCGCCGCGATCTGCTGCTCCGCTCAGGCCCGGTGGAGCGCGCCGCGGGGTGCGCGCAGCCCGAGCTCGGGGCGGCGGCAGGCGGCGGAGCGGCTGGAGCAGCGCAGGGAGCGGCTGCGGGAGCTGCTGAGCGAAGAGCGGGACGCGCTGGAGGCGGAGCTGCGTGCGGGCGGCGGGACGGAGCCGGGAGGGGCGCGGGAGCGCTGCGCGGAGCTGAGGGCCGCCCGCGAGGAGCGGAGGAGGCGGGTGAGCGCCGCGGGGGGCGATGCTGAGCCGGGCGGTGCGCGGTGCGTCCGCCGACGTTGCTGTCTGCCTCAGGTCGCCGAGCGATTGCTGCGCCAGCACTGGAAGCAGAACTGCGCTGAGCTCCGGGAGGTGCGCGTTCAGAGCGAGCGAGTCGCAAAACGGGCTGCGTGGGAAGGGACCCACGAAGGGCATCGCAACCGTAGGGACACCCGCAGCTCCAGCGGTGCTCACAGCCCCGTCCCCTGTGCGCGGCTGTGTGCAGGGACGGGGCACCGCCACCTCTCTGGGCACCCTGTGCAGTGCCTCACTGCCCTCAGTGTCAAAACTTCTTCCTTCTATCCTTCTCAAATCTCTCCTCTTTGAGTTTGAAACCGTTTCCCCTTGTCCTGTCACACAGACCCTGCTAAAGAGTCTGTCTCCTTCTTTCTTACAGCCCCTGTAGATGTTGAAGGGCTGCTCTCAGCTCCCTCCACAGCCTGTTCCTCTCCAGGCTGCGCAGTCCCAGCTCTCTCTCTATCCTTATAGGGAGGTGTTCCATCTATCATCGCCGTGGCGCTCCTCTGGACGTGCTCCAGCAGGTCCACATCTCTCTTGTACTGAGGACTTCACAGCAGTACTCCAAATTTAACTTGAATGTCATTGTATATCTGCTGCTGTTGTTATTCACCCTGAGTCACAGCAGTCACTACACCAAAATCTGACACGCAGAAGGCAAATAAGTAAAAAGGCCCAACTGTAAGGGATCACCCCAAAACAGTTATTTCTCAAAGACTCAAATCTGATACTGAAAGCAGATTTTCAGTGCCTGTGATATAAAGATTGTTACCTATTTCCCACTCTGCTGACATGCTGCTCCAGCAGCTGGTTTCAATATCACCACAGTGAACTGGTGACATCAGCCTGAGCTTGTGACCTCTGGGCACTGGGAAAAGTGCAGAGAACAGGCTGTGGTCCTGGGTTCTGCTGGCAATAGAAAAACCTCTGACAGCAGTGCTGCCTCTCTTTGCAGGTGGAGTCAGAGCTGCACAAGAAAAATGTGGTGGAGTCCTGGGGTGAGCAGTTGAAGCAAAAGCAGCAGGTATGCTGGGGCTGCCTGAAATGTGGGCTGCAAGCAGCTGGCCTTTCCTGTACTATCAGGACTGGGGTGTGAGAGGAATGGGAGCTGGCTATTTGTTGTTCTCTTGTACCAAATAGTGGCTGAGGTTTGCCATGCTTGTTCCCACAGCGGTGGGAGGTTCTGGTGCCTGCAGAATAGCAGGAGTTGTTGATGGAAGGATGTTTTCAGTTAAGAGTTGTTGTTCATATCCAGCAAGTATCTTGTCTCTGTAGTTTTGTTTAGTCCTTGTTTTCTTCCCTAGAATATCTTATTCTGTATTCTTCAAATACGTGTCAACTTCCAGGAATCTGATTTGAGCATTTACTGAACTGAACCACAGTCTAACCTTAAATGCAATGCTTTGTTTTGGCTTAATAAGCAAGGAGCAATGGAACGAGAAGAGAGAAAGCTTTATGAAAATGAGTATGAAATTGCACGAAGGGAAGCTCTGGAAAGAATAAGACAAGAGGAAGAGAAACGTCGGCTGGAAAACAAGAAGCAAGCAGAGATCTTGCTTCAACAGATAGAAGAACTGAAATTACGGGAGGCAGAGGTAATCTTCAGCTTCTCCTCATGTAGGAAGGAAGTTCATTGCTTCACTTGGAAATGCAGCAACGTTGACCTGACCTCTTCCCTCCGGATTTCCCTAGATTAAATTTGAAACAGAGTCAGCTGTGACTAGCATTCTGTCAGTAATGTAGACCTCTCCATGAATGCAGGTGTGTGAGGTTCAGGTGGAAGGCTTTCTCAGCTGAAGCTCCTCACCTTATCTCTTATGCTGTGAGCAAGTAAGACGCAAATGGTATGGAGTATTTACCATAATTATGATTTTGACTGCTTGCAAAGGAACAGTGTGGTACAAACTCTGGTACAAAGGCTCTCTGGGATGTCCTAGCTCTCTGCAGTACTTTCCTGGTTATTGATTTTTCCTTTTCAAAAACATTAGGCAACAAAGCTGAAGAAAGAACAAGAAAATTTATTAAAGCAGCAGTGGGAGCTGGAAAGCTTAGAAGAAGAAAGAAAACAAATGGAAGAGCACCGGAAGAAGACTGAGCTTGGGTATGGGATCATGTAGCAGTGATAGAATCTCTTCTGTGACCATGATGATACTTGCAGGAGGAGGAGATGTTTTAGATAGCAGGGGTGGGCAGTAAATACTTTTTGTTGGAAGTGCCCAGAACAGCTAATGAGCATAAATGCATTGGTGCCATTACTACTTTTTGTTCGTGTTAGAGGTAGCGGGTATCTCCATTGCCTCTATATATTTTATTGTCATAAATATACTTTCTTGAATGCTGGTATATTATAAAACAGGGCTTTAGAGAGAGTCTGAATTGGTTTTGTTTTTCTCCATCAGTCGCTTTTTGAGACATCAGTGTGATGCCCAGTTAAAGAGACGAGCCCAGCAAATACAGGAGGAGCTGGTAAGAAGAAAATACCTTCTGATTTATACACTATAGATACTATGTGCTGAAGGAACTTGTTCTTTGTGTTTCATGTATGTGTCTACCTCCAGTGCCTACAGTTAAGCAGTTAGGAAGCCTCTTCTGGCTTATGAACAGGGCTAGAGTGAAAAGATCACAGATGTCACCAGTGATTTGTACAGAAGTACACAGGCTGGAAGCCTGCTGGATGGTTGTTAATCTTTAGGGTTTTTTTTCTCAAGGAAACAGACAGACAAATCTTATTAGCCCTCCTCGAGAAAGAAGAAGAGGATCAGCGCTGCCAGTCTGAAAGACGAGAGCGAGCTGTTGCAGATGCTGCCTGGATGAGAAGTGTCATTGAGGAACAGCTCCAGTTAGAAAAGGAGAGGGAGGCAGAGCTACAGGTCATTTTTAGGTGTGTATACACCTCTGTTGTACATCGCGTAAAGAGAATGTATGTGCTGAATTTCTTGCCTGTTTGGCAGAGCTCATTACTGTTTGTTATATAGGTGGACATTTAGAAGTGGACATTAGAGAAAGGTGCCTGGTTGGCCGTGCTGTTGTAGAAATGTGCCTATATGTAAGTAACATTAGAAAGGAATCTTTCTTTCACCTTTAGAGAAGAAGCAAGAAAAGTGTGGGAGAAGAGGGAAGAACAATGGGAAAAAGAGAAGATGGCCAGGGATCGCCTTATGAATGAGGTGATGACTTTTTTTAATGAGGTGTCTCTTGATCTGACAAAGCTGCTGTTCCAGCTGTGGCCTTCCAACCTCCAGAGGGTCACAGCCTTCTGTACTCGAGTCTTTCTGTTGAACTGATAAACTTTTCTGAGAACTGTTTAACTGTCTACACTGAGATTTCCCCAGGTTTGCTTCTAAATCTGGCCTCTTCCTTATCTACTCTCTTAATCCTCTCATTTCATACAGGTCCTTGCAGGCAGGCAGCGCCAGATCCAGGAGAAGATGGAGTTAAACAGACAGGCCCAAGAAGAGTCTATAAAACACCGAGAGCAACTGATTAAAGAACTTGAGGAGGCAAAAGAACTGACAAGGCGGGAGAGAGAGCAAGAGAAGGAACTGAAGACAGCTCGCAGACAGGAATTGGAAGCTCAGGTATAGCATGCTTTTCAGAGAGATAGCAAAGTGTCGAAAATGTTGTTGCAGAATACTAACACAGCTGTTCCTTCTGCAAAGTGCATGGAAAAGTGCTGCTGCAGAGATTTACTTGGCTTCTGAGCTATCAGCTAGGGACATTTCTAGTCCCAAGTGCACCATCAGCCTTTCTGGTTGTTTTTGTTCAAATGTCTCCACAGCCACTGGCTTTGTTCTGTAATCTGTTGGCTGAAACAGTGCGCCTGTTCAGTCTCATTGTGCTAGAAACCTTGCTGTGGTACTGCCTCCAACCACGTGTTTGTGTTCTGGCCTGCATCTCTGTGACCTGGCTGTAACAGCCCTCATCTTGTCTCTGCTCAGCTGACAGAACAGCGCTTACGAGAACAAGAGGAGCAGGAACGCCAGAGAGAGGAGGAGGAGGAGGAGAGATCAAACAAGCAGCGCTGTGCAGAGCTGGTGCAGCAGGAAGCCAGGAGCATGGCTGAGCAGGGCTACTGCAGCAGGTAGCAGTGCAGCAAGGAAGCCTGCAGGTACAAGTCATCCTAATGCTCAGGAAGGATGACAGCTTCAAATGTGACAGTAAATGTTATCAGTTGTTAAAATTCTTGCTGCAGTGCATCTCTGCTGTTCAATCTTTTCCTCTTCTGTTGTGCTAAAAATGTATCTGAGTTTGAGTTACTCAGCTTAACCACATACCCGGAAGACCATGTTTCTCATACTAAAGTAGGAACAGGCAACTTGCCTCTCTGTCATTTAATATTGTCATTTAATAGATAGTAGCTAGAAGAGCCAGAGAAAGCTGAAAAGGGATGTTACTGCACAATAGCATCGACTAAAAGTGACTTATTTTTCATGACAGATATTCTGTATTCGCTACTTTGTATCCTTTGCTTGCTGAATAGCATGTGTGCAAGATTAATGATAAAGCCCATAAAGTAGCCACGATTTTTTGTTTCACTGTTGTTAGCTCTATGGTTACCCAAAAGCAGCATGGACCTGAACGTTATCGTCCTTTCTAACTGAGGAGTGAGCACAAAATCAAGCTGTGGGTGACAAGAGCATTTTGAAGAATCAAGGAACTCCTGAAATAATTATGGCTGAGGATCAGCCTACAGTGATGCCAGGACTCAACTCAGAAGTTATGCTTCTGAAAATATTTGCCTGTGACACAACTGAACACAAGATCAATTTTCTGCTGGCTTTAATAGAGCTGGAGGTTTGAGCATGCTTGGAGGGCTCCACCCTGAACTGCTCTGCTTACTCCATGTTCAGGAGACATGATGCATTCTAGTAAGTGCTACGCTGGGTTAAAACAGCAAAGAAGTTAAATTTCTGGACCTAAAATGTGGAAGAACCTGTGCCTCCTGTGAAACAGGAGCTGTAAGCTCTAGCTGCTGTTTTCTATTTAAACTTTAAAATCCCCATTCCCACCTCTGAAGGAGGATGTGTGGAAGCCCCTGCTGCCTTTTAAGGGTTGCTTCATGACACATCTCAAATCAGTAAGATAGGTAACTTGGCAGTAATTAACATTCCTCTCCAGGACATGTCAAAAGCTTCCATAAACTTTGCTCTTCTTTTTTTCCTCTCACTTGTTTCACAATGAATAATTACAAGCTGAATATTTGTTCGTTTCCTTTTAGTTTCAAATTGCTGCAATGCAGAAGGTGAGAGGAGTTTCAGCTCATGATTACACTTGATTCTCAGCTACTGTCATAGGCAGTTGCAGTTTAAAACCAGCACTTCAGTTGGCTTGGTACATTCGGATCCATCTTAGCTACAGGAACTCATTCAAGACTTTCTCTTAAAACAGCGATAGATAAATAATCTCAAGTATTTCACACACTGGAAAGGTTTTAGCGTTTTATAGTAATACAGTAAACAAAAGATTAAGTCAGACAGCATGACACTGAAAAATACAAGTTTTGGAAAAGGCAAAAGAATTTTTTACTTTCCTATGCAGCATATTGTAAAGAAAGAGCAAGGTTGTTTACAGGGGGAAAAAAAGGACATCTACTTAGAAAACAACACAACAAAACCAACAATTTTAAATCTTCTGACCTGCAGTGCTATACGATTTGGGGGCTAAGCTACTGCTCTTTAGTTCCACAGTTGTACCACTCTGTGAAAAGATCTGACATAGCACATAAGCCTTTGCTCAGACTGCCTCTGTTCTACTGACAGCATCTGAAATCTGCACATCATGTGCACTGTGGTACTGGAGCAGTGACGTGGTATGATGAGGACCAGCCTAGAATAAACATTTGTTCAGAGATGGTGGAAATTACCAGAAATACTGCTGAAGTGCTAGAAGGCAATCCATTACAGGTGGCCATGTTTTTATAGCTAGACCTTCCAATGAGCTGAAGGGATGTTTTAGGAAAACCTGGAGCTAGCCTGGATGGAGCAAGGGCTTGCAGCTGCTGCAGTGTCCCTCTGTTTTGGTACAGGTGTGAACTGACACCTACAAGGAAACTCAAGGTCACCCAGCTTTGCAAATCAGGTAAGATGTGTGAAAGGAAAGCATGTAACGCTAGCCTGAGAGATTTCAAAATGCTATCTGCTACCTTTCAATGATACCAAGTTAAGAATAAGCTCCCAGAAGATTATCAATGTATTTAAGTGCCAGTAGCATAATTTGGAAGTAGGTTTTTAAAATGTCTCTTACGGTTCTAATCCCAGCCTGTCTGCGTTCCTGTGAGCTTAGAGACAGCTCTAGCATCACAACTGTAGAAGGGGGAATAAAGAGTCACCCTGAAGGAGATTAATTTACTGGATTGTCATCAACCCTCAGTTCCCAACTCAGGCTACTTAAAAAATGGAGCTAAGTACAACATACAAGAATCCCACAGCATTAGGGCACTTGGTGTTTATACGTACATACAAACACGGTGTGACCTGAAAAGGAAGGAATGGCTGAAGTTTATTTGTTAACCACCATACGACAGTTTTTCCAGCAGGAAGCCTTGCTGGCAGGCTCTGTGCTGCAGCCCTGTTTGTCAAGCAGCAGACACCCATTCCTGACTCAAATGTTTCTGTGAAAGCTGTCTGAATGTTCTCATCAACTGCTGACATGTGACAGCTGCTACAGCTCTGCAGCTTCGCTCCTACATAAAACACTGCCTGAACTGGCTGCCAGCTGAACTGCTACAGAGGGCTCCTTCAGCATCACAGCATGCTTCCAAAGAGGATGGATGCAAGGAGGCAAAAGTTTAGCCCATTTTCCATGCAGTTTAGACTCCCAAAGAGCTCTGTTTTTTTTTTTTTTTGTAATTATGGTCTTATGTGTTTTTTGAAGTTTCATGAACTGGAAAAAGCTGAATTGCACGTGGATATTTACCACCTATTTACCTCTCCAGCGTGGGTTATTCAGGATACAGCCTGACAAATGTAGAATGCTTTGCAAAAAACTTATGGGATATAAGAAATCGTTTCACATTTGGATACGGTGAGGTACAGAGGTTATATGCTATGGCAGACACAGTTTCTTTTAACTGGCACTATAGCTTCCTTTTTTTTTTTTCCTTTTAAATCACAAATCTTCAGTGAAATTGCATCAATGCTGCAGCAAACATGATATTGCCTTGAAGATGACAGAGAAATTCCATAGGAAACTTAAAAATGAGTTACTGAGCCAGAAACGAAGGATAATATTTTAACCACTAATGCCCTAAAGTAACACCAAACATATATATTAACGGCATAGTGACAACTAAAAGAAATAACTATTAAAATTCAAATTCCTTCCAAAACAGATAAAGTGACAAAGACCTTGTATAGTTACATGTAACAAGCTTGGATGCCCACAGCTACTATTGTTTCAGCAGACTAAAAATGTACTATTATTGCACAACAGTTGATATGGGAACAGGTCAAGTTTGGCTTGTACTCCATCACCAGGACTACAAGCATCCTGCTGCTGGTGAGCAGTTGTCCTGGAGCCTTCAGAGCCCACTTCACTGCAGGTTTCTCCATTAGCAGCAGCACTGCACACGAGGCTCCAGGATGGGCAGAGCAGGGGTGAGATTCTGCCCTCTGATATGTGCAGTTGTCTTCAGTGGGGATTTGGCAAGCAATATCTGAAAGCAGCAAGTGGCCCCAAGGAAAAATCTAGCAAGAGCTTGATACAATGCTGGTACATGATATTGGCTCAACAGCTATTTGCAACATGCTACTATCTGTAACTAAACTGGCAACACAGGCACAAAATAAGGCAGTGGGTTAAATTAATCATTAAAATTGTTAGAAAACATGCAAAAATAATACTGAGTTTAAAAAAAAAAAAAAGAGGTTTCTTGCCCCTTTAGTTTTTCCTCATAAAAATCCAAATAGTTCCACACCTGTATTTGAAATTCAACCTTAAAAAAAAAAAAAAAAAGCGAAAAAGCCAAGTGTGACTCAGTTGTTGTTCTCTTTGGTTGTGATGGTAACCAGCTGCTTAGCAGCCTTGGCGATGTCGTAGGCGCACTGGATGACCTGCTGTGTGACCAGCTGGATGTCTGTCGTGGGACACGTCTCCACAGGAAGGGTTTTTTTGCACTCGGATTGGAGTCTGTAGGCACTAGATGTCAGCAGGCGCAAAGAAGTCCTTACCAGTTCAGATTTGGGTTTCTGGGAAAGTAGAAGTGGAACCAGACAAAAACAGAAGTGTTTTAGGATGGCTTTTAACTACCTAGTAGTGCTCGACAAGTGCTCTTTAAGGTGGGCCCTCTGCTGCTACAGCTCTGCTTCCTACAGCACACAGCAACATTGCCTCTGTTCTGTGATAGAAGCCATCGCTGCAGAGACGTGGGTAGGAGTGGATGAAACAAGTTCCCAGAATCTCACCTCTTTCATCTCAAGCACATGCAGGGAATACTGATTCCTGCTCTCGTTTGAGAAGTTACTCTCGCAAATTTTCTAATGCCCGTTTCCTGGCTGATATCAGGGCAGAGCACACAGAAGACGGTCAGTTCAGAATAAGCACAGCAGCATGAGATTCTCCTGGCAGTTTTACTCAATAACTTGTGATGGAGATTTTACTCCCTGAAATTTACTTTGAAGACCTACGCATATCTGCATTAAGAAACACAAGCAATGGCACTTAAAAAGAAACCAGGGAGTCTAGCTAAGTTCCAGTAAAGCCCCATGACTCCTTAAGCAGAAGGCAAGTAGCTTCCAGGTTTTCATGAACTGCATGCACTTTTTCAAGCTGGAAGTCCCAAAGTAAAATTAGAGGCCTGGATACACAAATTAACCTTTCCTGATTAGCATGTGAATAAGTGCTGATTCAAAAATCAACCCAGTCGCATCCCCTTCCTTCTGCTTCTCATTTACAGCAAGAAAATCCAACAAAGAATGAAGCCAAAAACACACTTACTTTTGGGAACAAGGCTGCCATTTCTGTCACTGCCACGTGTATTCTCTCAGAGCACGGTATATAGCTGCAAAAAGATGCAATCTATTATTCATCATGTCTGCACTGCCTTTTCTCTTCGGTTTCACTGCTCGGTGGCTATTATTCTTGAAACAACTGGGTAACAAAACCCCATACATATCCCAAGAATATCTTTGTAGGCTGTGCTTTGGGCAAATGCAGTAGATCCAGCACACAGCTGGGTGATTCTTAGTGCCTCCTCACTAAGCACTGCCAGCACACTGCAGCACAGGTTTGTATGGAACAACGTGACTTCAGAGAAAACAAGAACTGAAATAATACAAAATTCTTTCTTCAGTTTTCATCATTCTTCACTCACTGTTTGAAGGAACAGCTGTCCAGATCTATTATGCCAAGCACTGTCAGGAAAAGTCCCAATTTGTATTCAATTACAAAACACGTGTCTATGAATATTAACTACACATTAAGTCATAACTTGCATTTCCTCCCTGCCCCTGAGCTTGCCTCTAAATTGGGCAGAAAGTCGCTCAGCTGGTTCTGTTTGGTGTATGTACAACAGAGCTGCTATGCGTGGGAGAGTGTGCCCAAGCAAACCCATTCGTGAAGTCAGACACGCAGTAAGGGTTCCACACTTTGGCAATATTTAAACAAAATCTGGTGTTGCTTTGGGGAAAAAAAAAACCAGCTGTTTTTTACTCAGTGCAGTGTTGACAACCGAAAGTGGATGCAAACACATTTCTTTGCACGTGGGATCTGAGTAAGGTTAAGTCGCTGCTGTTTCAGGATCTGTCTGTGTTTTGAAAGAGCCCTTTCTGCATAAAGCAGGAGACTGGAAGGGCACACAGCTACAAGAAAAGTAGTTAAACCATTAAGGGTCCAGCTAAAAACGTCCTGGGATCTGAGTTTTACAAAAACCAAAGTGTTTCAATTGATTTCATGTTTCACTTAAACACAGCAAACACCATTCACAGTTCTCATACTGCAGTTCACAGACACATGCAGCTTTAAACTACCAACTGTTTTCACAGAAGTTCAGTTTTAGGCTAAGTATCCAGTAATTCTATTGAGTTAAGCAGTGATGGCTAGCCAAATAAATGCAGATTCCATTAGTCCTCATAGATTTCACTTGTGACTTGCACACCAGGTGAAAATTAGTTTGCTCAAAACAAGGCAATAGTCTTACTTCAAGGCTTTGATCCTTCAAAAACTCCATTTCAGCATTAGTTAATTAAAATGGTTCAGTCTTAAGCAAAAGAACCTCAGAAATATCACAGCAACAGCATTCAAGAAAAACACCCAGCAGTCGTAGATTATGGGAGATCACTGCCCTTTCAAGCAACAAAACCAAACAACAAAACCCACAGTTGTTATGCAGCCATCTTGCAACACCAAATGTGTAAAAATGGGTCAGTTGCAAATGCACTGAGAAGGAAGCAACAGAGTGGGGTCATTTTGGCAATGCAGGAAAACTGCTTGAAAAAATAAATTAAAAAAAAAAGTCTATTTCTCTATGTCTCAAATCAGCCAAGTTCTTCCAAATAACCCAAAAGTGGAGGAAATCTTCCAAGTCCACTGTAATTTCCATTCTGCAAGTGACTCAGAAATTAATTAGCTCCCTGCAAGCCACACTGAACAGCACTTCACCTCATAAAAAAGCCAGTTTTGCTGATTAAACTCTTCACCAAGGCGAATAAAACCCTAAAAGTACCCAAGTGAAGATTAATGATGCAGATTTCACAACACCTTCTCCAGGTTACTGTGAAGTTTATGGTATGTCTTGGAGGGATGGCTTTACTGCTCACGGTAAGCTCAAGAAATAACCTGACGTGTTGGATGTGTTCACACACGTCCCAGGAAGACATCAGGGGGATTTTGTGGCAGCTTAGAAAAGAGAATCCATCATCACCAGTAACTGGTGGCAAAACTCTTCCTCCATTTCTGACACTTCTTGCTGGCAATAATACCTGGGGTTAAAACTTGGGAAATTATGTTTCAGAGAACATTTCACTTAAGTTTCATTTTTATTTTAGGCATTAATAAAATACTTGGTCAGGTTAGAAAACATTAAACTTTTTTTTTTTTTTTTTCAATTGATTCAAGATCAAAATAATTTCTTGTTCAACACGTCAGCTGTATAAACAGTTGAAGACCTAAAGCTGAAAAGTGGGAACGTTGCATGCAGGGAATCATGAAAATTCTGCTACTTTTGCAACAGTGCAGAGAAGCAGCAAGCATACATTGTGCTGTCAGTTATCATCATTCATCTCCTTGGACAACAGGTACAACAGACACAGAAGAACATCTTAAACTAGGACAGCTCAGTTCCAGTCTGCAGTTCTGTTTTGCATTAAATCAGTACCAGGAGCTTCAACTGAACCAATGATCTCCTGGGCTTGTAACTCCCTGCACTTGATACCTGAATTTTCTTTATCTTCCAAAGCATTTCATGCATAGCCTTTGACGACCCCTGTGCACAAGGCGTGTGAGGGAGGAAGGCAGCAGAGAGAAAGAGAAAGGACACTGTGCCTGGGAGGCAGGGACAGAGACCAGAGTACCAGGAGGCAGGAGCGGGCTGCGGGCTGCTCAGGGGCTGCAGGGGAGCTCTCTCAGCCCAGGGAACCAGGGTGCTGCAGCAGCCAAGGCTGTGTCTGAGCTTGAGTGTGCTCACACGCCTGAATGGCCTATGGGCCAGAGGAGCACAGGAAAAGGAATGGAAGAAAATGAGGAAACAAAAAAAGAAGGGAAGAAGGTGTTTCATTAATAGATTGTATTCTTGTATCATTTTATTACTGTCTGATCATCTATGCAGCATGCCATTCTTTTATCCACAGCACTGCCAGCAGGAATTTGGAACCTGTTATATCCCCAGCTATCTCAGTTTATCAAAGAAGTGTTCTCCTGTTGCAGGGATGGAATGGAGGAACCATTCTCCTCCATCCTGAGCAATTCTCAGCCCCCTGAGACGAACCCAGGGAACAAGAAAACAAAGAAAACAGCTTCACACTTCAGTGAAGATTATACTCACGCAAGTAAGTACTGTCAAACACCATAGCCAGGCATGGTACACAGAGCACAAAAAAGAGCACAAGTTGTTTAAATATCTATTCAATTTAACAGCTAAAAGCTGGGTACACTGCATTGTTTTTTCCAAGTCTTTTTTTTTTTTTTTTTTAATTTCTAATATTGTAAGCCTTGACATACATAAAACCTAAACTCATTTAAAACTTCTCTTACTATTGCTCCTTATTATCTGTGACAATCAAGTAACAAAGGACTGCTGTGGAAAAGGTTATGGGCAGGGCAATGAGCTCAGCCCTAACACATTAGAACTCGCCATTCAGTGTGAGAAGGAAAGGCCGTGCACTGTCCTTTCTAAAAATAGAAAAGTACCAGAAGGAAAAAACACAGAACAAGAGTGGCCCCATTGTTGTGCACTTCTCTCAGCAAGGCAGGAAGCGAGGGTTTAACAAAAATCACCAGCAGCTTCTGATGGGCCGAGATGGGTGCAGAAAGCAGGGCTGAAGGAGGGCACACAGCTCGCAGACCTGCCAGCTGCCAGGTTTGGCTTATCTAGAGACCAACACTGCTCCAGATCTAAAACATGTTTGTACTTGGCAGATCTAACTATTATTTACAGTCCTTGTCCTCCAGAAGAGCTGTGCAGGAGCACTATGTGATGAGCAGACTATGACTATGGCTTTTACTTGCTCGTGGTTATTCTGGAAATTAATTGTTCAAATGGACCAGAAGTTCCCCAAGGGAGCTGAAGCTGTGCTGACACACTGAAGCTGTTCATTACTTGATGTACACCAGGGAACCGACCTACACTCTTCATGTGTGTGAAATCCAGTATGAACACAGGCAGTTAGTAGCTGTACTTCTGAGAACACTTGCATTTTATTCATTTTCTCATAACCTCCAGAGCTTTTCCAGCACACATGCCTTACCTGTCGTGCTTGTTCTCCTGTGCTGCACGCAGCAGTTCCTGAATATTCTTAGTGATCTGCTCAGTCTTCCGAATCACATCTTCTGTACTGGGCAAACTGGAGCTGGGGGCTGTGTCGGTGTCCTCAGGGATGGACCCCTCTCCCTGCCAAACAACGCTCCTCTGCCTTCCCTTCCTGCCCGACCTGCAAAGGAACAAAGCTGAGCTCAGCCCTGCAGTACAGAGCCTCATCATCACTGACTTCCCTGTCCTCCAGCAGCATGGTGCTATAGCATTAGCTCTACCTACCCTGTCTCCTCCAGCTCCAGAGGGGCAGTGGTGTTATCATAGTCGCTCTCAGGCACACTGCTCTGCTTTTCCAGCTTCGAGGCCTGCAAAAAAGGCAGATTTGTTTCAGCATCATGCAAGAAAGAAGAGCCCCAAGAAGAATGCAAGCACTGCATCCCACCTATGTGGTTTGCCCTTAAGCACAACAGCCCCTGTACCCACTGCTACTCCAGAGCCCAGCACACCTAGCTGTCCCCAAATCAAGGGGTAGGAGGCCAGATCAACCACAGAACAAAAGGAGAAGGCTATTCACAGAGCCAAAGGCCCAATATTTTCCACTTCCTATTCTCACCCAGACCAGCTTTGCACCTGCCAGCAATGCACCCAGCCCATGTGGCAAGGACAATGCTGTTTTTAACCCTAAACTCCTTTTCAAATGTCTGGGTTTGTTTTTGTTCTTTTACCCTCCCAAACAGAGGGCTGCTAATACAAAAGACCATATTTGCACTACAGCAGCTCAAGAGCACCCACTCTCCCCACGCATGCTAATACGAAGCCCCTCTGTTAGGGAGAAACTGAAAGCAGACTCTGAAATACAAAGCTAGGTTTCCTTTTCTGAACAGTTTTTGCTTTCTAGTATTTCCTGGCATTACAAGCTCCTGGAAGGTCTACCACCAGGCCAATCTCTGCAATTCACACAGACCTGCAATCTGAAGCCCTGTGAGGCACACTCCCATCTTCAGGCAGGCTCTGAGACCACTACACATCTGCCTTTTCCACTCTTAAAAAACTGCAACGCTCATCAGAAGTGCCTGCTACAACTCACCCACGTAGAGCCAGACACATCAGTGTCACTGTACACACAGCTCAGGCTCAGCATCAGCTCCCACTCGTTCACAGGCACTGCTCACCCAAGAGGGCCCTCTGCCATCCCTGCTGAAGAACCAAAGCTAAAGCTCTACAGCAACTCTGAAGTCGAGATGAAGGGAATCTCTAGTGTTAGATTGGAAGAGAGATCTTCAAATCAGCATCCCAGATCCAAAACCAACGCTTTTGTCTTGAGGGTGGAAAATGTGACAAGGAAACATTTTTCACTGACTAAGAGCTATTCCATTTATTAAGCACTTACCTATTGCTAACACCACCAAATTCAAACACCCAAAGTACAAATGCTTTCCATTCACTTTACAGCTACTTTGCACAGAAGAAAAAAAAACAAGGATTCTTGTTTTGCTCACCTCTGAGGGTAGCTACTAAAGATAAACTCCAAAAGTGACAGACGTTTTTTGAGGATAAGGACTTTATATGCAGTCTGTGGTTTTAATATCTAGCACTCCCTGTGAATGTGTTGTTTTCTCAACTGAGATGGAGTACATTAGAGCCAAAATAATAATAATAAAAAGGACAGAAGAATTTGGGAAGCAGGTTCTTTATCCCAGTGGAAAGAGGCCAGCCTGACCATTCAGCACCCAAACCCACAGACTGCTTTTAGAAACACTCTGTGTCATGTTGAAAATTTGAGCAGAGACTGCAATGATTTTCCAAGGAACTGAATGAGATGGTACTGTTTTCATTATATTAACCACACAGAAAAAGTAGAATAAAAAAAAAAAAAGAAAAAGAGGAGTACATTCCCCAAAAGATCTTTTCAAAAACAGTTAAATCTTACAAGAAATACAAACACTTCCCTCTCAAGTTTGTTCTTGGGAGTCTTGTTTTAATGCAGAAATAAGCCAAGCTTGAACCCTGAACATACAATATGACAAAATGGATACAAGCTACTTGCAAGCTTCTATGAAACGAGCCAAAAACACCCCAAAGGAACCTCACATTACTATGTCCTTCAAAGTTAAAGAGGTTTAATCAGCAAGATCTCAAAATGCAATCAACTCATTCTGATGACAGAGGATACCTCCTGCAAGTAGTGCAAGCTGGCAGTGCAGTGAAATGGCCACAGCCAAGCTGAAGGCTGCTCACCTTTTGTGACACACTTAGCTGCTGGGGGCCCTGCACAGCCAAAAATGGATGTTGTTCTAGAGCTGCAAACAGAACTTGATTTTGCAGTTGTTACAAGGTTCCCAAACTAAAAAATACAGCCAAAAGAAGCTGGCGCTGACCAGGCTATCAAACTGTTATGCTAGTTATGCTCAATGTGTCTCTTCGTGCAAGCTGGCTTTTAGGGTTTCTTCTAGCAAATGAAGCTGAGTGAGACCAGATTTAAATGTTCCACTACAAGAAAGAGAAAAATGTTTTAAAAAGATTAAGGAGCTGCCTGAGGCTTCTCAAAATGGCTAACAGTTGATGCTGTAGTAAAGACAGCACCTTTGGAACAACAAGAGCTTGCAGAACACGTTTAACGTTGCTATTTTTTTCCTTGATGTCAACTGTTTTTGTTAAATATGGTTTTGTAGAGCCTGATGGAATACCATGTATGCTTCCTTTATACACACTCAGTGTCTTTCACCTTGACCTGAAAACAGTCCTGCTAACAGCAATTCCCACACCCATTCAGACTTCCATCTGTTAAGGCCAGCAGTAAGCAGGCTGGCCAACACTGAAGGAATCGTTGGGCAATGTGTTTGGGTGCTTAAAGAACTCACTTCAAACAAAGTAATGAACACCTGTAAGATAAACAGTCAATGAATATCGACGTGGATTGGTGCAGACTGATAGCCCCCAAAGAAAGCAGGCTCAGAAGTTAGGACATGCACGTGCCTCATGCAGTGCATTTTAGTCAAGAGGAAGAGTTGCATATTGGCTTATGAAATATCAATGAGTGTTTGCCAAATCCCTTTCCAAACAGCAGCCAACTTATCTTCTGGCTGTTTTCATTGTTATGCAGCTCAACATGTGATTTGGAGTGACTGTGCACAGGGTTAAACTGAAGATTTTAGCCGTTGTGGAGTTAGAGAGGAAAGTATCCACAGCACGGTGCGAAGAAACGGAAAGTGATGAAACGCTGCTTCGTGCAAGCATGGAGGCTAGTGAGCATAAAAGGGCAGAGGACAGAGGCGTAAGCCTTCTTGGAGATTGCCACCTCCTCCAGGTAAAAGACCAATTGGGAAGGTACTTAACCCTTCGTGTGCTTTCATCCCTTGACCAGGAAAGCGTGGAGGGGAAGGAAGGTAGAGATGAAGAGGAGGTCACAAACGCACTCCTCCCGATCTAAAAATGGGAAAGAGAAAAACACTCGGGCAAACCAACACCAAAAACAAAACACAAATAATTCTTAACTGAAATAAAGGAGCATTCTTAAAAACGTGCGAGAGGACATAAAGCAAGAATGATTTTGAGAAGTCAGCTGAGCCTGAGCAGACTTAACTTATTCAGTATCCGATTGGCTTTGTAGTAATTCTGATCCTGATATTTTAGAGGTGTGGAATTTCACAGAGAATAAAATGCTTTCACCATAATACCAAATTAACCAACCTCCACATAGCAGTGCTTCAAAACCACTTCCTCTATCCAAATTTCAAAATGCAGAAAGCAAAGGACCCAAATGCAGCACTATTGTGTTTTGCATGCATAGGCACTGATGAAAGAATTCCGGTGTTTCTCTCTGTCAGGTATGCCTTATTAACATGTCAACATCATTTAAAATGATACAGACTTCATAGTTTTTAAGTTCTTTTTAACATAACTGCAGGGAGAGATGAGGAGAGGGAACAGCATACAAAATTCTGTACCGATTCCCTGCTGTGCACACTGTCCTCCTTGGAACACTAACAGAACATTTGCCCTCCTCCCACATCAGTGCAAAATCCTTGTGGCTAAAACAGAGCTCTCTCTCTACCAATGCATCATATGGGAAAACACTAATTCAGAAGAATTTGTTCAACTAACAGAACTAAACCACCTTCAGCCTCCAGTTCCAAACTCAGAACAGGGAATTGGATGTTTAGTGAAGAAGTTGGCATCAGGTTTGTAAAGGAACTGTTGGATCACAGCCTGAGCCTCTGATTGACCACCTGAGGTGAGCACTGACTCAGCCATGGAAGCACAGGTGAAGGCAATTCAGCTGTGTGATTGGAAGGGGTGGAGGTGGAGCCTGGCTGCACCTCTCCTAGACCCCATTTAAGGGCTGAGTGCCACTGAGGAAGGATCTCTTTCTGGAGATTGCTCTTGTGGAGTTCCTTGCAAGCCTACAAGATCAGTGAGTACTTTCCGTTTATCTTTAATTATTGTTTCCAATGTGATAATCATACTAAGTCTAATTTCTCTGTATGCTTATTGATCATCCAATACTTTACAACATCTGTATATATACAGGTTTTTCTTATTTTTTTTTAACATCATTCTAGGGTTCCACAAATGCTCAGGCATCGTATAGATTTATATCTTGAGATATGAGTTGTACCTACTTTCTCAGAATACTACTTTGTACCTCCCTCCTGGTTTTCAAATAGTCATATGTTGATATTTGGAAAATATATTGTGGTTAAAAGAAACAGCCAAAAGCTTCAGCTTAAATGTTCCAGAGCTGTTTTTACTTTTCAAAGCACTAAACTTCTGCAGACATGTTAATACAGCAAACAGTAACAACTCTTACAGTTCAAATTCCCTCGAAAGTGAACAGCTGAGCAGCTTTGGTAAGGGAGTATAGCTGGAAGAGACAGAAAAGCTGAACAACAGGAGAAATGCAGAAGCATTAGCAGTTTTACTTACGTGTGGAGGAAAAGGTTGCAGTCTTGTTATGCTTTCTTCTGGGTATGTGACCTCTCCCATAGGGAGGTAGGGTTTCTGACCTGATCCAGTCTCATACATGGACATGGGCCTGCTACCCCGTGCAGACGGTCGTCGCTTTAAGGAAGAATTGTTGGTAGGGTCTGTGTACTCAGAACCAGTTTGGACCTGATATATGTTTGTAGTGGCCTGTCTTCTGAGGTTGGTATTTTCACTCTGTAGCGTCTGGAGCTGAAAGAAATGTTTAGCAGTGGGACTTTGTTTTTCTAATAGCAAGCGTCAAAAGCAAACTGACCAGGCAATACATGCTTGTCTGCTTTACTAGCAAATCCAGCTTCCAGGAGCTGGGGTTTGATTTATTCTTCAGAAATCTATTTGATTGGTTTAGTATAAGCACAGAAATGTCTATGTTGCAGATCTGGCAAATATTTTAGTTGATTTCCAGCACTTGTTTGCTGGGCTGCAAGTCAAACTGGATCTTAAAATTGGCTGTTGTAGTTAAAAAACACACAATCTGTTCCTTCCAGCCTGGCTGTAGTGCCATGTGGATCACATAACACAATGAGGATGCATGGGGAAGGACTGCCAAAAGAACAGTTCTTTCAAGTAAGGTGATCCATTTCAGCAGTCAACACAAGAACTTTAAAGAGAAGTATGACATAAGGCCAACAAAATCTGAAAAGGCCCAAAGTAAAGCACAGACATCAGAGGCAGTGCAAAGAAAACCAGAGCTTGCTCTACAAAGCAAGAGGAGAGTTTAGCTTATGAAAATAAGGAATCAGCTACTGCTTTCTAAGAAGCCAACATGAAATAATTTTAAAGCTTTTTTTATTATATGTATTTGATGGATAGTAAAACTGCAACCCTGAATTTTTATGGAGCTACTCAGAATGAGTTTGCTATATTAACACATCATAAAGAAAGAAATGTAGAAGAAAATTATGCATCAGCAACTCTCTAACAATATACCAAGTATTTCAAACAGATGATGGCCTTTTAAACATGAAATGGTGCATTTATAGTAAATGCTAGCATTTACTATAATCACATGCAACCTCAAGAACAGCACCTATTTAAACATCTTTATTTTGATAGAGGTGAAATCAGTAGTTTCCTTTTTCCTAGCTTTTGCCACTCTTTATAACCTGCTTTAGGTGCAGTTTAATCCAGCAGCTAATGTAAATACACAGCAAGCTCTTAAGCACCTATGTTTTCAGAAAAATCTGCAGGCATGAAAACTTTTCCCATCAGAGCACCCATTGAAGCGAGAGAACTATTTTCCTCTTAATTGAGGGATAATCTCACCTAAGGTGGCACTCATCAGGTGCCTCCTCTTTTATTAGCATATTTGATTAACAGTAATGCAAACTATCAGGTGCACTGTTAGTTAATAAGGTGATAAAGTGGACTTTAAAAAAATTTCTAACAGGACTGTGACCTTCTAAGCCCTTGCTTAGAAAATGAAATGATACTAAAAAAGAAGAGAGCCTTTTGAATGACATCTATTGCACTAGAGTTGCTGAAGTAGTACAGATATATTGGTGCCTTGCCACAAATAACCCAGCAGAGAATTCCCATACTGAACTGCAGTTTACAGTAGCTCAGAGCTAATCCAGCTGTTACTGCTTCTTCCTAGCCTGTGTCCCACAGAGGCACAGTGCTGCACTGCAGAGCCACCAAGCACTAACTTAAATGAGTCCCATAGCTATGCACATCACCAGGACATAACATTAGTGCAGCATCTCCAGGATGAGTGAGCCCCAGCTGTGTTGTTTTTCAAAATGAGTTCTACTGCAGCAATGATCTCTCTTCTGCCACATCACATAAGCATGCACTGAAGCATCATTAATTCATAGGCCCTATTTTTTTTTCCCCACATGCAGGTTAAATCTGTTTCAAGAAACTCAACGTCAATGAAAAGTTAACTCAACTGATACAGAAAAATGCTTCATCAGTACAAGCTATTGAGGGGGGGAAAAAAACACAAGAAAACATCCTTAGATCTCTTTGGTTCCTCTCTGTATTTACTGTTCCCATAGATCTTAAAGGCTGAATACAACTGTAATTAAAAAGTTGGCATCAAGTAGCCAAGGACATCTGAATTTGGGCATCAGATTGTAAGAGGTCAATGGTGCCTCCTTGACCCAAAAGAACATGGGGGGGGTGGGGAAGGGGAAGTCCCAAGCACAGGTTTCTCTGCAAGAGGACAGCTTGAACACTCTGAAGCCAACTTTTTCTTTAAGGAGAGCCTCCTGCAGGACATGCTACGTGTACTGCAGCATTGTAACTATCTGGCAAACAGGGTTTTTAATACTGGGTAGGGGAATCCATCTGAAGAAACACTCAGCCCTTCCTAGACTAGGGTGACAAACAGGATAGTCAGCTCGATACACGTAAGGTCTGCTACAAATACACATTCTTATCTCCTGTCTAACTCTAAAGCAGGTCCACTTTAAAGATTTTTTCACTATTCTCATATTGGGTTATTGCATCTTCAGTTTCAGCAGCTTTACTCTGGCAACTAAAACCACATAACTGGATGGGGTTACATTACTGTGCTTGTTACCTTTTTCTGCATGATTCTCAGCTCATCACTCAAGTTGATGTTCACTTTCATTAGCTGCTGAATCTTTACCTCAGAAGCCACCAGTGCATTTTTAACTTGCAGATACTCTTGGGCTGTCACTGGTCCATCTGACAAGTCTGAATCCAGGCTCTAGAACCAGAGAGAGAAAACTCTGAGGCTGCTGAAAGAAAACAGGACAGTGACTGCCCCCTTTTCACCATGCTGCATTACTTTCAGGAATGGCATAAAAGGCATATCAAGTCAGTACTGATATGCTGTGAATATTTTTTGAGTAGGAAGAAGTAAATGTTAGTGAAATCCCATGTAACCATTGATTTAAAAGCACTTCAGTAGATTCAATTTCATCTGTGCAATCAGGTCTCGTCTTGTGACATGCACAGTGGCACTGTTTTTCTGAAGCAGCCTTTTAATTACAATATAAATTCTATATGTCACAACGTCTTTCTGTTAGAAAGTATATATAGACTGAGGGATAATTCTGAAGTTGAAAATGAATTAAAATATTAATTATCTGATTATTTATAGATGTTTAATTTCCCTTGACTTCAGATTATCTTCATGAATGACACATGGTGTGTGTATCAATACCTCAAACCCACCTTCTGCCTTGTTGATTTAGATGCATTTGTTTCCAGATCAGTATCTTCATCTGAAGCAACACTGTCATAATCAGGCTGGTCATTATCCTGACTTTCACTGCTATGTTGATTGCTGATTGACTTGAGTATCAGTTCCACATTTTCTGTCAATCAAAATCAATTTAAAAACATACTAATAAATTTGAAGGAGAAATGGGAGTGCATAAAAATAGTTAAACAAATAAGCTCTTCAACCAGAGAGACTGCACAGTTTGCTATCCATGTGCTAGCTTGGTTCTTTTTGTCATATGAAAACATAAGTTTCTTTGTAGTACTTCATAGTAATAGTACTTCTGAATGATGCTATCCTATTGCATTGATTAAGTCTTGCAGTAATTTAATTGATGTGATAGGACAAATGAAAGAGCTGCCAACTGAAACTCACCTTTTGAACCAGAGAGAGGATTCCCCTGTTGTCTTCGTTTGGCATCACTTAAAATATCTATAACTAGTGTAGCAAACTCATGAGCATTAAACCGAGCCAGTTTCTGCCTTCCCTAAGTTAGAAAATAATATTTATAAAATTAATAAGTGTCATATACTAGATAAACAGCAGTTTCCAGACAAAACAAAGACTGCAGTGAGCTGACTGTTCAATTTCTGCATCTGCAGAACTCTAGAGAAGAGGTAATGCAGAACATTTTTTATCCTCTTCACAAGCAGTTGCAACTCTTCTACAGTAATAAAGTACAGTAGAGCAATATTGCTTAGAATAATTGGCTTATTAAACAAGAATAGTTTTATAGTATTAAGAGGATTATATACCTGATTTCTGGTTGAGGAATATTCAGGATTTACAGGAAGAAAAGGGACCACTGTGGTCTCTGTCACAAGAGTACTATGATTCTGAGTAGCAAGCCAAACTGTTCAAGGAAGGGAAAAAAAAAAAAAGGATTAAACTGCCTGTGCTATTTGGCAGTGTTTTTTTTCAAAGAAACAAAGACCACAATTTCAAGCACAAAAATTAATCAATTCAACCAAAGATTTTTTTCCTCAGAGGTCTCTTTACTTTGAAAAAACAAAACCAACCAAACAAACAAACAAAAAACCATGAACATGCACCTGAAGACAATAGAAGAAACTACCATTATCAGTAATTTCTTAACACAAAAGTATTTTAAACAAAACACATGCTTGCAAGTAGCATCTTCTTTGTGATGTAACAACTCATGTTTTATACATGTTCTGCTCACCTGCATCTGTTTCCCTCCTGTCAACTTCATCATACACATCCATGGCAAGTTCTTCAAATAAGTGGTTGCTTAGCTAGGGGTAGAAGAGAGAAATTACAGCTAAAAATCAAACTGAACCAATTAAGACCTCTATAACATTGCAAATAGAAGTGCACAACTTTGCTTTCCATTGCCACTCTTCCAGCCCGTATAACCATGCAGGCTGAGAAGCAAGCAGTTAAGTTTGCAGTAAGCAGGTGTGAGTCACAGAGCAGTCCTGCTGGCAGGGGATGTTTTGGTGCTGGGCTGCTGGCTGAGGTCAACCCACCCCAACCTGCAAAAATACAAAGCAGGAATCTATCTACTTGTAGCTAGCTATGCATTTAAATTAACTACTACCAGCATGTTAAAATAGACATTGCTGAATAGAACAGTATCACAATTGTGCTTCCTCCTGATGCAAGTTCTCATCTTTTGGTTCAGTCTGCTTCAGCTAAAAGCTTTTTCCCTAACCTGTATAAGGATTTGGTCACAAACACCTTAGTAACACTAGCCAGTTTGTGCTAACAACAACTAACCAGCAGACAGCAACAATCTATTTTGGCTTCCCAGAAAGTCAGAAGCAAATGATAGCATTTAACACACAAATTGTGATATTTATTTGTTTAGGAATTGACAGTAGCTGAAACACCAGCTTGAAAGATGAAGTGCAGCATTTGCCACATCACAGTAACAGTGCTGCTCAGCACACATGGAAGTTTTACTTACAGACTGAAGCTTCTTCTTAGCTGCTTTTGCAAGTTCTGATAAATCCAGACTGCTATGAAAACAAAAAGTGATCATTACATCTACAGCATTAAGGGCTACTTTAAAAATAAATCCCACACATTTCAATGATTAAAATCTTTTATTTGATGCTGTTAGTATTTTATACAGTTCTTAGCACATCAACCTTTCCAATATCACCAATACACTAATTAGCATACTCTTACACTTCACTAAAAACAAAATCAAAAGAATCCCAACAACCCTTCAGAAGAATAGAAGTACGCATCTGCATAGCTCAAGGAGTGATAAGGCATTTTGTAAAGCAACAAGATGTTTTCTGTAAAGAACCTGAAAAACATACTAAACTGTGACCAAAACTCGAGTCTGTAGGAAACGAACAGGATTTATTCCACTGGACTGTGCAGGGTTGCAGCCACAGGCCCTGCTCTACATTATTCTGTACCAATTGGGAAATAAGCTGTTCTTCTAGCTCCCAGCCTTGAACATGAGGCACAAGATGAAAATTCTGCAGCTCAACTGAATTAATCATAAAAGACACAGATTAGAAAGCTGACAAATTTTAAGCCCATACTTCTATCACCCAGGGGATGACATCCCTGACCTACAAAGATGAAATGGCTCAAGTAAATCTCTGCATGATTGAACATCACAGGGAATCGTGTAGGCTGCTGCCTACATAAGAAAAATAATATAAAATAAAACTTAAAAGACCAGCAGAGGACATCAGGTGGAGGTGAGACAGTCAAGTTGCACTCCAGGCTCTGCAACCTAAAATGCATCTCTGAATGAGTTGTTTTCCCCATGTCAGCTTTTTTCTTCATGCAATGTGGCAAACAATGCTTAGCTTACCTTTCTCTGCAAAATACTTTGCACTATACTTAGCCTAACAGCTGACTACATGATATTAAAAAGTAACAGACCCTACCAGTAGGCTTTTTTTCCCCCAATAATTACATAGTAATTTTCGTCTTACAGCTTTTCAGAGACAATAGGAATAAACTGAACAGCAGTTTACTTACAGCCGTCTTATTTCCAATGGTGTGGCAATAAAAGAAAAATGTTTATGACTTATGATTAATACATGATATTTTTCATACAAAAAATGATTTAATTGACTGGGATCAAAACTTAAGAGCACTCACGTGACCAAAAGTACAAACACTGTCAGAAATTACACTGTTCTGCAAACATTCGTTTCAAAATGCAGTATCAGGAAATGAACAGATCCTTACATTATTTCATAAAATCTGTTTCCCAGAAATATTCATGTGTTTAATTATTCCACCTGCATTTCAACAAACAAACTTCTATAATTTTCTGATTTTGTCTAAGATTGATAAAAGCATGTCATAAAGTTAAAATGGCAACAAGCTTAGAAGTTACTTCAAAGAGGAAAGTTTTCAGTCTAACTCTTAAGGATTGTCTGTTTACAAACAGCTTTCAGGCATGTCAAACTCACCTATCCGCCATCTGAGGTATAACAAAGTGTTGTCCATTTTTATGATCTAGAGTTGAAAACAAACTATACTTTAATAGGCTGTTAGTGGGAGATGCAGGGAGAAAGCCAGGGATATTTGCAGACCCAGAACAGACTATCTTGCAAGTCATCACTCAGTTTCCAACATTTCCAACTACAGGAAGCTAGCAAGTCTCCAGTGAAGGTTCCTACCACGATTTGCTCATGTTATAAAAGCTTTCAATTAAGTCTTATCAACTGCATTATTATTTTTTTTCTAAATAAGCTTCAGTTCCAATGCAGGTGCCCTGATGGAATGTAATGGCTAAAAATTTCCAAGCATGTACCTTCAAAGAAGCACTCATTGAATCGGATACTCCTAAGCTTTTGCACTTCAATTAGAATAAACTACTTAGTTTATTTAGTTCAGTGCTTCTGCAGTATGTCCTGCAGAGTAATCAGCATTACAGAAATTGTATTTTCCCTCATCTGACCTTATATGTAATAAACCCTTAATTTTTAATTTTTTAAGATATACAAGGGACAAATGTAGTAACATGGAAACAATATATAGCACTCAGATTGAACTGCCCAACAATTAACATATAAAGACCTAGGGGTGCAGAACTTTCTACTCACCTGGTTTTCTGCCACAGAGATAGAAAGCTAACCTGTCAGTGAGTTCATACTGAATTTCTACCAGGCGCTCTGCCAGTTCATGGTGCCCACCTTGTCTGGTTTGCACAAACATACAAAGAAGAGTTCTATTAGTTACTCCTATGTAAGCTATACAAAAACAAAAATTTAAATATAAACATTTAAAAACATTACATGTGTCAGAGCCTTCTACCTTGCATAGTCAACTGGAGTTTTTCCATTAGAATCTTGTGTGCCAGGATCAGCACCATACACTGCCAATAACTCTGCTTGTAAAGTCTGTCCTGCCTTAGCAGCAACGTGGAGCGGGGTGTTTCCTTTCTCCTACAGGTGAGGAAGAAAAAGCACATCACTATTTCATCAACAGCTTTGAATATACCACTGAAATCTAACACGTCATCTGAAATGTGCATCAATACTAAATCACGCATCAAAATAATGAAAAACAGGCTCATACAGGATGAAAGAAGTTGGCCTGGGCTCCCAAGGAGAGCAATCGCAAACACGTCTCCAGATTCCCCGTCCTCACGCTGGAATGGAGTTGCTGAAAAAGGAGGAGGATTCTATTCAACACAGGCATAACGGTGATTCAGCGATGCTTTTAGAAACAGTTATACAAGAATTCTTGCTGCAGCTGTTTTATATAACATTTTTTTCTCCAAGTTAACCTAAATCATTGCCTCTGAACCATCCACATCTCCAGAATCTCTATATATTCATATATTACATAAAAATCTGCTTCAGGCTGAAGTCAAGCTGTGTTTGTTTATATAACAGTCCTGAACAGCAGCAACAGTTAAGTCAAAGCAACTAAATTCAGTTTGATTTCAGTGTGCTGTTACACACAAGCTGAAGCTTCTGTATGCTGCCAGGATGGAAAAAAAAAAGCCACCAGTAAACTCACCTTACTGAGATCTTTGGCAGTCACACTGTCATCCTCACGGCATGGCAAGCGATGGACAAATGCTAACATTTGATACTTAGCTCTAATGAATTCAGCTTTATTGGGACTGCAGAGAAACCCCAAGCAACAAAATGGGAAGAAATGTTAGTGCTTTCGAAACAATAGACATCAACTATTACTATTCCAAGGAAGACATCAGGAATCAATAGCTCATAGAAATGAAGCTGTATTTCCATCTTTGAAATGAACAAAAATCATTAAGAATTATGTTAAAAAAGAAAATCTGATGACATGGAATACCAGTGAAAGACCATAAAACCAGGACATCTGTGAACAAACAACTAGTTTACTACTTCTGCTACCTTCAGAAACAAAACATACTTAGGTTCCCATGTACACCTTGCTACCTATGTCACTGCTGAATAAAACAATCACACCTCTACAAAGAAAAGATGTGTAATTTTCCACTTACTGCACTTTATCCTGAGGGTTAGCTTTGCGCCTTCCACTCATAACAGAAGCAGGGTCCAGCAACGAATGTTCCCATATGGAGTTAGCACCATTATTATACAGTGTTTCAACCATCTGAAATCCAAAATGTATACAGGCAGGAGTGAAGAATGTTTGCTGCTAGCTGCACAGACTGACTCATCAGAAAGCTGCAAGTACTGTGAAGCCAGAAGCAGGATGGTACAGACTCATATTCTGTGCACCTACCTAAAACCTACTGGGGTATCAGAGCCCAGCTGATGTTTAGGAGGCTGTTGTGTGGAATGTAATTTGAACCCCCTTCAAATACTCTCCACAACATCTCTATCAAAGAGAAGCATGCTATACACTGAAGACTTAGGTTGAATCAGATGCATTACACAAGTCTGAAAGAAAAACTGAAGGTCCCTTCCCAAAACAAAGGTATCAAATAAAAAAGACAGATATTACTGATTTTATCAATGCTCCATGGCAAAAAAAAAAAAAAAAAAAGAAAAAGATTATTTTTATATAATATAAATAGAAACACCACAAAGAAATTCTAGCTTTAATGAAGGAGGAGATGCCATTGCTCTTTACCTGCAGCAGTGTTGGAGGCCATGGTGTGTGCTTGAGATGTCTCACTTGAGAGATATGACGCCCCAAACTCCGGTGAACGCTGCAGCACTCATCGCAAATCAGAATTCCCCTGTTTATGGATGCCCAACAAGGATCTGAAAAAGAATACATTTATTACAACCAGAGAAGGCAACGTGACTACTTATTTCAGAGCGTAAAATGACTTTGTGTTTTAGAACTCTGCATTTTAACTTTAGCTTTACTGCTCTCAGAAGCAACTCCAGTTTCTGTCAGTGACAGAAGAGGCTCCGTGGGCCAAGAACCCTGCAGGAAGAGAAAGTGAGCAGCAAGACAGATTGTCAGAGCTGGCACACTGCAGGAGGAAAAAGGAATTCAAGATCTCTTCTGTTTTGGAAAACTACATAACTCCAAATCCAGAGATGGGTTTGAGGCTGAATGAATACAACACAAGCCTGTATCTGATGAGAGCTCTTCTGCATCGTGTCAGAATACATCTAAGCAATTGTGCATCACAAAAATCTCCTGCTGTGACCCATGCAATAAATATACCGAATCCATGAAACGTGAGATCTGATCACTGATGTGGTTTCTGAGCAGAGCTGATGCTGTGTGTGCTGAAGGCAACGCAAGCAAACCCGTTCGAGCCACAGCTCACAAGGGAAGGCAGCATTTACTGATAGATGATAACTATCACTTAGCCCAGAGCCAAACTGAAGCGTTTATTGTAGAAAAAAAAAAAAACTAATTTAAAAAACAATGTAAGAAGGAGCTTGCATCCTTGTTGTTAAACATGCCACTGTTTTAACAACTTTCACTTCTAAGCGAGAAAAACATAACAAAATGTGCTGTGTTAACCCCAGCCTAACAACCCAAGGCTGGAGGCATCCTTCCAGACTAACGAACCTCGTCCCTTTTCATTACAGACAGCCTCATCATACACTCATTCATACATCAATGTGATCTGAAAGCCACTGCGCTCCTGGTTTCAGTCACTGGTCAGTGGTGTTCCCCAGGGGTCGGTGCTGGAGTCTGTCCTCTTCAATGTCTTTATTGATGACCTGGATGAGGGCACGGAGGCACCCTCAGTAAGTTTGCAGATGACACCAAGTTGGCTGGAAGTGTTGATCTGCCTGGGGGTAGCGAGGCCCTACAGAGGGATCTGGACAGGCTGGAGAGCTGGGCTGAAGCCAGTGGGATGATGTTCAACAAGGCCCAATGCTGGGTCCTGCACTTTGGCCACAACAACCCCAGGCAACACCGCATGCTTGGGGTGGAGTGGCTGGAAGACTGCGTAGAGGAAATGGACCTGGGGGTATTGATTGATGCTCAGCTGAACATGAGCCAGCAGTGTGCCCAGGTGGCCAAGAAGGCCAATGGCATCCTGGCTTGGATCAGGAACGGTGTTGCCAGCAGGAGCAGGGCAGTGATTGTCCCCCTGTACTCAGCTCTGGTGAGGCCGCACCTCGAGTGCTGTGTCCAGTTCTGGGCCCCTCACTGCAAGAAAGACATTGAGGCCTTGGAGCGTGTTTGAAGAAGGGCAACAAAGCTGGTGAGGGGTCTGGAGCACAGGCCTTATGAGGAACGGCTGAGGGAGCTGGGATTGTTCAGTGTGGAGAAGAGGAGGCTCAGGGGAGACCTTATTGCTCTCCATAACTACCTGAAGGGAGGTTGTGGTGAGCTGGGGGTCGGCCTCTTCTCTCATGTAACCGGTGATAGGACTAGAGGGAATGGCTTCAAGCTGTGCCAGGGAAGATTCAGGATGAACGTTAGGAAATACTACTTCTCTGAAAGAGTGGTCAGGCAATGGAATGGGCTGCCCAGGGAGGTGGTGGAGTCACCAACCCTGGAGGTGTTCAAGGAACAGTTGGATGTTGTGTTGAGGGACATGGTTTAGTGAGAACCATTGGTGATGGGTGGATGGTTGGACTGGATGATCTTTTCCAACCTTGGTGATTCTGTGGTCACGATCTGCTCACTCAATATGCAACATAACCTGCTCTGTTCAGCTACAGCAAAGTAAGCTCCTGTTTATTTGGTCATTCCATAGCAGAAAGGAGGCTTCAGCACTCTTCTGAAGAGAAAAGCAGAAGCCTTGCTGGTAATCTGAGCTCGGACACACTGCATACAGGGCTGGTTAAACACAGCAGGAGCTCAGCACTGCAACCTGCTCTCGAAGTCACGCCGGTTTAATTGCAAGTGGTGTTTTAATTGACCTACACGAAGATTTGTGGGCTTCCATTCAGTTCAGACACGTTGGTTATGACAGAGGGCTGTCAGGTTATACGAGGACTATTATTTCAGGTTTAAATTAGATGTCTGCGTTGGAGTTCAGTCTGTTTTCCAAGGTGATACGGGTACAAATACAACTCAAACACGCTTACACCGATGGCAGAACACAACGAAAGCTCAAAAGATCTCTCAAGTTTGCTTTCAGGAACATGGCAGAGTGCTTCAAAACAGGAAGTGTGCAAGGACAGGCGTGCTCTGCGGGTACGAGAGGCGAGCTCCTGCCCCAGCATAGGAAACGCATCAGAAAAGAGCACGTAAACTCGTGCGCGGCACAACCGCTTACGGTCCCGAAGAATCAAAGAGAAGCTGGGGAAGCCAACGCGGATCAAACCCCGCAGCTCCTAACAGGCCGTGACCCCGCCGTGCGCTGCTGCCCACATCTCAGGCTGCCAGCGCCCATCCACGGCCTCGGGCTCCTCGTGGATGCGGCACCCACAGCTCTGCGCAGCGCTGCCAGGCTCTGACTGCCCTCCGTGCCCCCTCGGACCCGTTTTCCTTTCCCCACGAAGCGGCCCGGCTGCCCCACCTCGCACCGCCGTCCGCACCGGCTCACGCCGCAGCGCTTTAATTCATTCCGCCGCCCGCAGCAGCGATCAGATCCGCAGCACAGAACAACACAAAACAGGCAGACGCAACCCACACAAAACGCACCGAGCTGGCAGGAGACGGGCGGTAAACACACGCTATTATTCAAAAAAAAAAACAAAAAAAAAAAAACACAACAAAAACAAACCCAACGTTCCCGAACGGCAGCGCTGCAGACGGGGACGAGGAGCCGTTGTTCAGAGCAGCGTTTCGTCCCCGCCCCGCTGTCAGCGCGGCTCCCACCCGCACGGCGCCGCCGCTCCCCGCCCGCCAGCGGCACCTGCCCGCGCCTCCCCAGGGCAGGGGGTGGGGATGGGCCCGGCCGCCCCCTCCTCCTCCTCCTTCTCCTCCTCCTCCTTCTCTCCTCCTTCTCCCTTTCCTCCTCCTCGCCCCCGCGCCGCAGCCGGCCTTACCCTGCGCGCTGCAGTCCGCGCACACCTCGCTGCTCCTCAGGCGCTTCGACATCGCGGCGCGGAGCGGGGCGGCCGCTTCCTGCCGCGCGCTCACGGGGCCGCCGCAGCCCCGCCGGGCGGCCGAGCCGAGCCCGCAACGCGCAGGCGCACGGCGGCGCCGCCCGCTACGCCGCCGGCGCTATTCACGAAACCGCTCGCGCTCGACGGAGCCGCGGCTCCGTAAGCCGTCGCGTTGCCCCGACTCAAGATGGCGGCTGGAGGCGCTGCCCTCACCCGCGATGGCTGCGCGCTTTTCCTACTTCCGCGGCAGAGCGGGCGGGCGAAACCAACGCTGCCCGGAGGCGGGGGGAGGCGGTGCGCACCGGGCGCCTCGTCCCGTATTACGGCGCAGCGGCGCCCCCCCCAGAGCGGAGAGCGATGGCGGAGCCGGCGGGCGGGACGCCCCGTATGTAAGTGAGGGGGGGGGAGAGCAGGGAACAGCGACTTCCGCTTGCCCGAGGCCCGCCGGTGGCAGCAGGCTGAGGGCAGAGCCCGGCGCCCTTTTCTCTGTGCCTGTCGTGCTGTGGGTCGTCCTTACCGCTGCCCTGGAGGGAAAGGAAGGGGCGAAGGGACGGGGGTGAGGAGGCGGCCCGGGCGGGAGCTGGGGTTTGAGGTGGGGCCTCGGGATGCAGGGGGAAGGAGCTGGGATCTGGGAATAGGGGTGGGAAGAAGGAGTGAGGGACTGAGGGAGGGCCCCAGGAATGGGATCAGAGGGGGGTGGGCAGGAGCAGAGCCCCAGGGCTGAGGGTCTGGGGGGGGAGGAAGGGGAAAAAAAGGGGGAGGAGAAGGCAGAATGTGAGGTGTAAAAGGGACCCCAACATAGGCGTCTGAGGGGGACTCCAGGAGCAAGGGCCTGAGGGAAAGGGGGCAGGAGTGAGGGGCTCAAGGAGAGTCACAGGAGTGGGGGGTCTGGGAGAGGGGAGGGACGTGGCTACAGGGATGGGGGCTGGGGGGCGGAAACTGGAGCCTAAAGGGGACCTCGGGAGCAGGGACTTGAGGGAGGCCCTAGGGATGGTGGTTTGGGGAAGGGTCGTGAGGGGGAGACCCTGGGATGAAGGCCTGAGGGGGCCAGTAGGAGCAGCCTCCCCCGCCCGCCCAGGGTGTGGGATTTTGCATGGGACACCACTGAACAAAGCGGGGGGCAGTGAGGGCAGGCTGCCCGCTTCCCCCGCTCCTGCAGGTGTGTGGCATGATGAGTTCCCCCGGCAGGGCCAGCAGTGCGTTCCCCCTGCATGTCCTGGTGTGGAACAATGAGTATCGGCGGCTGGATGAAGAGCTGCAAGAACAGGTAACTGCTGCCCTCCTGGGCAGAGAGAGCCTCGGCTGTGCCCCGGGTCTGTGCCAGGCTGGTGGGACTGTTCTCCTTCTGCGTCTGTTTGTGGGTTTGGGAGTGAGGTAAGAAGGTATAGGGATGTGATGGACTTTCATTGTTTTTCTGTGTAAATAAGCAGCAAGCTTCCATTAAGCTTAGCTTAATGGAAAATCAGAGTGCAGCAGAGCTATTGCTGCTGGTGATGAGGGCAGGCTGTGGCTTGCTGAGGACCAGCAGTGCTTAGAGGCAGCAGTTTTATACTGGCTAGAGTGTTCTCAGCATCTCTGTTTAAAAAAAAAAAAAATAGACTCATTGTTTTATGCTGTAGAGTAGAAAAATACAAAGCTGTTCCCTCTTTGGGATGGCTGAGGGAGAAATAGTAATGACGTAAGGGAATAACAGTGTGAAATGCTGCAGCAGAGCTCAGGCTGAAGTATCCTTTGTGCTGAGGCGCTGTGAAAAGGCTCAGGTGCACACTGAGGTGGGGGGGAATCATTTGGGAGCAGAACACACTCATTGCATTCTGCCTGGCACCAGAGGGACACGATCCCAAGTTGGGCTGTGCCACTCCTGACTGGTGATTGCCATCTGCAGTTCTAACAGTGCTCCACAACTTACTAATGCTTGCTGAGAGCATGCACCTCTCCTGATTTTGAAGGAGAATCTTTGGAATGCAGCTAGTTTTCATCTAATTCACTTAATCTTAAATCCTTAACAGAGTCTTTAACCTTGCTGGCACACTGCTTCAGTTTATTTCTATTGCAGTAACGTTTTGATGTGTGGACATTCTTAATCAGATAAGGATCCTTGTGCTGCTTGTCTTTGTGAGACTGGGGCTAAGTGAGCATCCACACCTGTGGGAGCTCCTCCCTCCCTCAAGTACTCCTCACTGTGAGGCAATGAGCAGCATGTTGAGATGGGACGTGTCCATCTCTTACTTTATCTGCTCTTAAATATTATGTTTTCCCTTCTAAAGTATTCCAAAGATCTGTTTCCTCCTGCTTCCTTGGGATAAGCTTCTTGCTGGCAGAGGGGCACGTGAAGGAATCAAAAGGCACTTTGCCAGCTGCACTGGGTATGGCAAGGAGGGGTGGAATAGTGGTTTACTGGTTAGCAGAGGTCCTTCCCACATTAATGCAATTAGCATTGGAGTTGTAGGAAGTGGGGAAGCAGATGCATTGGTATTCCAGAACAGAAGTGAGAAAAGAATGCTTTAAAATGAAGCTTCCCCCATTGTGTGTGATCTTTCAAACTTGATGCTGTCAGATAACCGCGTTAACTTGCATAATAACTTTCCTGTTCTGCTATTGACTTTCCCCTTTTCCTTTAGTTATAGATGCTCTTCTGTTTCAAATCTCTAAGCTAATAGTGAAAGATATGTAAGGTATGAGTATGTTGTGCTTGCATGTTTTGGATATTTATGCTTGTGTAGTTTTTTATTTTTAGTGACTTGTACGAAATGCATTCGCTCTTCATTGTGCTCTGTGTGTCAGTAAAATGGATGCCTTGTAACTTACCATTTGCTTCTATGCTCTCAAAAAGTGCTACACAAGATTGGTGTTGAATCACCTGTTGAGTTGTTTTTGTTTCTTTTCCCCTCTTTTCCCCTTCCTGTTACGCTGTACATTGAATCCTCCAGTGATCTCTCTCGAGCTGTTAACTGTGTGTGCTTCAGTGACCACAGAACTGTCTTTTCCTAAAAGGGACTGCTTCAGAAGGGGAAATAATTACAGGAAGAGAAATGAGAAGCATCACTGGGAGCTCAGTTGTGTTTTATGGTGATACCAGTTTCTGGGCCCCGTCCTGCTTCTCTTTTTATTTTGTTGGGAAGTAAAATTGCAGCATACTGAGGGCAGAAGGGCAGCACAGCAGTGTTTGCAAACAGAGTGACTACGTAGTGTGAGCTGTGTGGGCATATATAGGGAACGTGGACTCAGGTTATTTTCAACAAGCTTTATGTGAACTCTTCTCAGTGCATTGTGGTTAACTGCATTTGCTAGAGCAACGTCAGCATTACTTATCTCTTGGATACTCAACAGGATGTTGATCAACGTGATCCCCGGGGCCGGACCTTGCTGCATCTTGCTGTTTCCTTGGGTTACATAGAATCTGCCAAAGTCCTGCTTCAGCACAAGGCAGATGTAACTAAAGAGAATGCACAGGGATGGACAGGTAAGGACGACTGTAAAAACAAATGGTGTGTTAGTACTTCTCAGTTGCAGGTGCTGTACTTTGACTGATTCTGCGTTAAGCAAAGTGAAACCATCTCGTGCTTGGATTTCTTTCAGTTTTACATGAGGCTATCAGCACAGGAGATCCAGAGATGGTGCATATGATTCTGCAGCACCGAGACTATCAGCAGACCTCCAGGACGCTTGGAGGAGTCCCTGAATTACTCCAGAAGATTAATGAGGTGCTTATTTAGTCGACTCCAGACTCTAAGTCTGATTGCAGTTGTTCAGTTGAGTAAACTGAAATAAGACAAACAGATCAGAGTCCAGTTAATTTGAATTTGGGCAACTTATTCTTTCCTTTCAATTCACATATTGCATAGGCCTGTGCGAGGTGGAGACTCTTTCCCTGACCTTATTTTGAAATCTGTAGTCATGAACTTCAGTGTTCAAAAGTGGTTGTTAAGGTGCTGCTGCATCTGTAATAACATAAAGAAGAATCGCACGTTACAAAGTAACAGCAGACTGAAGTATTATATGCTTGTTAGACCGAGGCTCTGTTTGTTTTTGAGTTTTCCTTTATCTAAAACTCATGGGGAAATGCTGTGCTGAATGTTAAATCAATACTGTTTTGTGAAGTGTTCATAGGGTCTTTTTTTTTTTTTTCCTCAGACTCCTGACTTTTATGTGGAAATGAAATGGGAGTTCACTAGCTGGGGTAAGAATCCTGATTGTTGGTACTTCTAAGCAATGGACAAAAGGACTCACTCCCACCAATGTCACAAAAGCTATGCAAAGGGAGAGACTTACTGGCATTGTTATTCCCTGCTCCCCAGAATACTTACCATCACCTCTCAGAATAATCCTTTGTGTTTCTGTATCACAATTGTTCTTTGTTTCCACTCTGTTTGTGGGGTTGTTTTTTGTTTTTAACTAAGACTTTAACCATTGTCAGTCACTGAAGACTTTTCTCAGTGTCTTGCCTGCCTGTCTTTGGTTGTTGGTGACTGCACAGACTTTTTGGAAGTATCTGCTTTACTTTTAAAGGAATGAATGCTTGGACTTATGGCTGACTTCATTTTCCAAGCAGCCATCTATCAGACTGGGATTGGTTTTAGCCCATTTCACATTTTAGCCTGAACTGATGTCTCATTCCTTTTCACATTAATCTTTAAAATAATGGGTTTTGCCCCTTAGCTGATTGCTCTGAAAGCTAAAGAGGGCTGTTGTCTTGTTTCCTGTGGGATAATGATCACAGTACTGAGTAATTCGTGTATCACAAATAGCACTTCTAGAGTTCAGTTTTCCCACGTGCTTAGTTTCTTGAGTATTTTCTATTTATGTGTTGCTTGCTTTTGTAGTTCCACTAGTTTCTAGAGTTTGTCCAAGTGATGTCTGTCGCATCTGGAAAAGTG